AGTGATGCCCGTAAGGATTTTACGGTATCTTTTCACCATATTCCCAAGAATAAGATCAGAAGAAGGCAGTGGTTGACGAAAATACGGAGAGATCCTGGAAAATGATTCATAGTAAGTACAAAATAATAACGGCACATGGCATAGTCTAGATCTGCCGTGTAATGTACAAACTGTTCACTATGCAAGGTATTAATATCAGGGGCAAATGTACAATGTGAATGTCACACACACACAGACACATTCAACCCCCAACCCCCCACACACATTGTCATGTTCAAAATCAGTGATCACCCCCTAGTTCATATGTACACAACTGACCCCTCCCCCTGCCTCCCAAAACAAACTGGGAGACACCCCAACCCCCACAAACACCGCACCTAAAATCATCATCACCCCCCTAGTCATAAATTATGAACGGTCCAATATATTAAAAAAAATTAAGCATATGGACATGTGCAGACACTCTTGTCATGATGGCAAGGGAATTTTATTTGCAAATATTCTGTATCCGTGAAATTAGATTGGCTGCAAATCAAAGTAACATTTCAAGTACATATACATTTGTATATGCAGGACATTCACATGCTGTTAAAAAAATCTTAAATATGTATCTACTTTCAAAATTACTGCATACTGTCCAGTACTTCAGGGATACAGGACATATTACTGGACAATCTAATTACACCAACTGAAATATATTTAGTGTTTAAATATCCATTCTAGATGGTGCTAATTAAGAGTCAGAGAGCATGCCACCAGCTCAGGAACCTCCCATAAGTAATCTACCACAGTCACCATCTCAGATACAGTAAGAATCTCAGATCGTATTAAGTTAATTTTGCCAACTGACATGGTTTTAAAGAATTTAATACAACTGAACTTTGACCTATATGCTATGTTATTTACATATAAAAATATTGATTGCCCATACTGTCTAAAATATGAAATGATGTTAGCCTCTATTTGTAATTCCAGAGATATATTTATTGTTTGTGTGGTCGAAGAGATAATAGTGATGCTTTACAATGCTTATATTACAGTGAAGCAGAGAGTGATACAGCAGCCACTGACCCCAGTCCTACATAGAACAACTCCAGCAAAACTTACATGAACAGGGGAGGCAACTCAAGGAAAAGGTTGACAAAATAGAAAAATTGAACAGAAAACTGAACTTGAAAAGTTTGGAGTTTGTAAATTCATGTATGATGATAAAAATTGATTGAACATTTTACAGTATTCCATCATTTCAAACATTGGCACTGATAAGCTGGAACGTTTTTATTTGTTGAATATCTTCCCAGGTTTTGTGAAGTACCTTGCCCAAACAGCACAAAAATTGAATGTAAATGAAATTGTTTGGTGCTTTTGTGTTGTGTAAATGATGGATGAAAAAAAAGACATCTGTAATACATACACATTGATGGATTTAACTGAATAATAGAAAGGTCTTTCATAATGGCATAGTTGTAGATGTAACTCATTTGCTGCTGTTTAATTAATAATTGATGAAAAAGAATGTATTTCATCCTGTTTGAAAAGAGTTAGTTGGGAATCAGAAAAAAACATCATTCATAGGTATTATATTATGATAATGTGTAAGGGGGAGAAAACTATGATAAATTATGCATTGATCCAGCTGTAATTGTTGCCATTTATGTCAGACTAATCTAAAAGGATACTTCTATCAACATAAATATTGCACCCAATATATTTTCAATTTGCATCCTCTGAAAATTTTATTGTTATTCATCAGTATTACAGTTGGAAGCTATTGTGAATGTGTCTATTGTTATTGGACTTTTAAGACACCATTTCAAAATACATTTTTATTAACTGCACTCCAGGTGTTCGTTATTTATTTGGGTTAATTGTTTGCTGTAGTGTGAATCTTGTTATGTTAATCTGATAATATGTTCTCCTTAAAAATGTCTTCAGTTACGGTGGTACAGAATAAATACACCTGATCTACAATAAAGCAATGTTATGGTATAGTAACACAATATTGAAAATTGGTTTAAATATTCCCCATGCAGGTACCACTTGTCCATTTAGGTAAATTAATTATTCACCTCCAAATCAGTCAAGAAAAAACTTGAAAAAAATCATCCAGTTTTGTCTTGTGTCCCACCAGAGACCATATAATAGATATGGTCTCTGGTCCCACTCATGTTGATTGAAATAAATAGTTTCTACATGATGATGTGGCGATTCGTTTTTCCTCTGCGATTGTAACATGCAGCTGCGCGCACATCGCCATCACCACTAGTCCTGTACAACTGAAAATAAATGCGTGAATATATACCCTATATCTATAAAACAGAGTCGATAGGACAAAACATTTTAAACAGAAAATATACCAAACAAATAATTTCATCACATGAATAATACAAACAAATTTGTTTGGTCCAGATCCACTCGAGGAGAGCTATCTTGATCTACACATTACTTATAATCTCGATTATCCAGCTCAAGAATTAACAACACTACTCCCATATGGAAGTGGATGATTTGAATCCAGGTCAGGAAATACGTTGAGTCTTTTGCTTTGTTCATATGTTGATAAAGTAAACGTAATTGACTTCCCTTGGTAATATTTCCACTAATGTGACTTTAGAGTAGCTTCCCTTCATAAATGCTGCGCAACATGGTAAACGTTAACCTAGATATCTAGGTCATATGACTTATCGTGATATGTCGTGATGTACAGTAATTATTAACCCTTCAATCCGTGGATATGCTACAGAAACATTTGTGTAGCCCTTTCCAATTTCTCTGCGATTTCCCCGAACTACTGGACAGTTTCGTAATGTACCGTTCAAGGGAAATTTGAAACCAGGAAGTATACATTGAGATTTGTCGCCATTATGCGATTGTGTCCTTGCCCCATTTAGCCTCGTTTTGGTACAGATATGAATATTCATGAGGCCTCATTAAGAATGGTCTATTGCGACACACGATCGCGCTACATTCAAAGAGCTCCTTGGAAAAAGGCTTCTCACTACAAATTGGTTTACAATATCGATAAATAGTTTGCTTTGTTCAATTTCCGGGATTCACGCCGTCGATTTTAAACTAAATTTGCCTATGTTGAATTCCAATGAATCCCGGAAATTGAACAAACCAAACTATTTATCTTCTAATTCCATTGACTTACACACTCGTCCATTCATAGTTATGCAGCTACAAAGAGAAACGAAGCAAAACAGAACCAAAACTGAAATATACATGTGCAATATAATGGTCTGATATATAGGAAATGTGAAAATGGGTGCACAAAATAGAAACGTGACGTCAAGTATTTCAAATGTTAGCATTGCTCTACGAAATAGTATAATTCAATACCTGAAATCTCACTAAATTTCCTTGTCCAACCATATTATCACATGAATTTCTCATCTTCAGGGTCATCTAACGGACAGAAATAAAAACTGCGCACATTCATTTTACTTCCTAACAAGCAATAAAACAATTTGGCTTGGGGTGAGATTTCAACATGTGTATAATATGTGAAAACAGGGATACAGTATACCCTTGACCTCAAGACTTCAATTTGTATACTTCCTTTCAAATGTTTAGACACACTTAAAACAGTCTAAACTTTTGATGGGAAATATATTACACTAGTGAGTCTAAACTTTTTGAAAGGAATTATATATGGTTTTAGGAAACACCGCTCAATACTAGAAATATCGAATTTGTTTGGGCCCATGCTTTGTTGAACGGATGATGAGATCATTCAAAATACACATACAGTGGTGTGGTCATATACACGGAAACATGTACACTTCCGAGTAACAAAAAACCTAACCAGCACTGGGTTCGTTATTTCTCAGTTCTATCTAACACAAAATGTTCTTCGTTTTTCGAAAAACAAATAATATACCCAGACTCTATCTTAGCTTTAGTCTATTATAGGGATAACGGAGAGGAATATTTCCTTTAGGGATGTCTTCAAACTTCAGCTGGTTCAGCACACTGTTGAGATCAAGTAGTCGTTGTTTAGCTCAGGTCATCCCAGGAATCTCCACAACAGCTGGTGATCTTTCACCTGGTGGACTATTTAACTTCATGCTGGAAACGATGTATTTGAATACTGCATGTCTGCAATTCACTGACAAAGCTATGCCCATACGTGTTTCCAGACTAACACCATGCACAGAATGTCATAAACCACAGCTCTGCACTGACTTTCATTCTCTTGATTTTTATGTCAGACAAACACGTACTCTTTCACTTCCGTGCCTGTGCATACAAATAAGAAACCGTATTTATCACAGAATATATCGCACGTGCCTGTCTCACCGCCATCTTCTAACGTGAGCAGTTCCCTGACAAACTCCCCCGACTCTGTCAGATTTATTACCTTGTCAGTGTCTCTGTCTACAAGCAGGATGTCTCCTGTGCTGGTAGTTGTGATACCACGAGGGTTGGTGAGTGTTCTGTCTCCAGTAGGGGCGTATCTCCACATAACACCCCCGTCTGACGTCAGACATGTCACAGACTTCTTCCCCCAGTCAGACACGAGTAGGTTGCCCTTGTTGTTGACACACATGAACCAGGGGCGGGAAAACAGTGAGTCGTCATTGTATGTAGTGACTGACCTCAACACGTGTCCAGCCATGTCCAGGATATCAACACAGTCCAAGCACCTGCTGCTAGAGATGAAGGATACAGAACAGCCAGACTGGAGTATCCGGTACGTGTTGGGATGGTTGAGAGCAGCACCAGGTCAGGGGTCACTTCTACTGTTACAATCTGAAGGCAGTCTGGGACAGCAACCATCACCTGCTTCTCATTCAACTGTGTTATCGCACCTGGATTTCTATCCAGGGGAAGTTTACTATGGCATGAAAGATTCTTTCTTGTGAAGTATGATTTCACACACTTGTTATAAAAGTCCGTAACAACACATGGTTGTACACAATCTATAACCAGAACTGTAACGTCTTGTAGCAAAGGCTTCTCCTCATCACCCGACACCCTCCCATCTATCGTGTCAACTAGCAGAGAGTTGGCAGACATGTGCCCTGATTCTGGTATGTGACGTCAATCTTCCCCAACTGCAGGTTATCTAAGACCTTCAGGACGTTTTCAGTGCCTGGTGTAAACCCGATGTCTTCTATTCTCCAGGCGTCTGCTGCCTTTGTATCCCTGACATCCTCCATCTTTACAGCTCCAGATTCCCAGGCCTGATACGCGGCATACAGGTCCATCTCACAGTCCGATACCAATGCCTGGTCAATGAACTCACAATGTTGTCTGTACATCTGCATCTCGATCTCTTCCAGCTTCACATCAGCTTGGAGTTGGCCGGCGCATGTCTGTGATATCTTATTCAGTTCATCCAAGAGTTGTGTTTCCTTCTGTTTAATCTTGTTAATGGCTGTCTGGCAGAACAACCTGATAGTTTGAACAGCTGACTCTGTGAATCTATAACTACTTTGGAGTTTCTCCTGTTTTATGTCTACTTTCTTCGACCTCACTTTCAGTCTCTTCTCTATGCCACGTCTCTTCTCCATCAGTGCTGCCTTCATCCCTAGCTTCATAGACTCAATGGGGACGACAGTTTTACAAGCTCTGTGGTAGATGATACAACATGTCTGACAGGCAGCCTTCCCACAGTCTTGACAGTGGAACTCAACTTGGTTACTCTTGTGTTCCTTACACATGATCCTCCGTTTGACCTTTGACCTAGACGACAGGTCACATAGGTCATGGTTCAATAAAGTAGGGGTCACCCGGTGTGTCTTCACACATTTGTCACAGAGGGCCACTTCACACTCAGGACACCACAATGCTGCTGGAGTTGTCTCCCCTAGTTGCTGACAGATCGTACAACAGGTGCTCGAGGTCTCTGTAAACACAAGTTAACGTACTTATTTTCATCACAACTTGTAAAGGCTACTAAAGAAAGCAGGGTATTTTAACACACACAGATGTAAATGTTAAGTCTACCACTGGTTTTAAATACATACATACACATACACACACGCATACCATATTTTCACTTTACCTTGCACAGCGACCTCGGACGTATAGGTGTCAATCAGCCCCTGTATCACAATGCTGGCTTTTATCTGCCCCGCCCACTCCTCCACCGGCCTGCTGGGGTGGGGGACCTTGGTGTCTTGTCGACAGCAGGGACAGGGGATGGTCTTGGACTGTACAGCATCATGTCTGGTTTGGATGTATGAGGTGACACATTTCCTGCAGAATGTGTGATCACACCTCAGTGTACACGGGTCTGTGTACATCTCGAAGCAGATGGAGCATGTCAGGAAATTATCCTTTCCTTTCTTCTCTAGCCCGGCTGTCGCCATCTGTAAGATGCACATGCAGTTTGTGCCTGTTTAGTTTAATACAAATAAATTACGCTTTACTCACTACAGATTCCATAAGCAGCAATGGAAGATCTGAACATACACGCACCTGCATGTGAAGCTGTATACAAACACACTCACACACTCAGACACACTTGAAATATAAACGGATGTCTATCTACCTGTCTTTCTCTCTATCTATCTAACTGTATATACATACATACACACAGAGAGAGAGAGAGAGAGAGAGAGAGAGAGAGAGAGAGAGAGAGAGAGTCTGTGTGTGTGTCTGTGTGTGTGTGTGTTATGTAAACTGCATGTGAGCCTCTGTACCCGAGCAGTCAGACTGGGTACACTGACACCTTTTTAACCTTACCATAGTTACCATATTATTTACCATGCACGTCCGTAGTAATCTTGGGAGCATATTCGTGCACATGGTGCCAATCTGAACTGCTTGTCGTCCAGGATGTTACTGCCACACAGTATCGGAGACAGGTCTTCATCCACGTTCTTCTGCCATATAAGCAGCTACATGATCCTGGACTGACATGTTACCATGACAACGTCGAGCCCCACCTTGTTGTTACTAACGCTGGTGTTGACGTCATGGACTGGCCTTCCCAATTGTATACACATTTGACTGGAACGGTATATCATAGGGAAGTTCGGCCAAAACCTTTATTCCTGCACATGCACATGCACTTCAGGTGTGGAAAACACAACCGACATATCTGCACCGCCATGAATTGGATCATGTACATATATTTAATCTAATCGCTCACCATTAACCTCAACCCTACTCAAAGGCAAACACTGAATCTACACATGGTCGACACGCCCCCTAGCCACCAGAAGTAAGGTATCGCACAAAACACAGTAGGAGGAACGATTGAATGGACACCCTCACCGAAATTATACCTGAACACTGACTTTTACACAAATCAATGAACAGGTCAATGTCAGATCTTATTTACGTCATCATAGTTACCATATTATTTACCATGCATGTACTTAATAATCTTGGGAGCATATTCGTGCCAATGGTCGATCTCAGCCGATTGTCATCCAGGATAATGTTACTGCTATACAGTATCGGACCAGGTTAACAGGGACTCTCGACCTAAACCTACGTTCCTGCCAGATACATGCACTTCAGGCGTGGAGAACACAACCGACATACTGCACCGCCACCACTATACATGGTGTCTATTAACCTCAACCCTTTTCAGAGACAAACATTGACAATGCATATGATCGGCAAGCCCCGCAGCCAACAGTAGTAAGGTATCGCACAAAACATGGTAGGAGGAACGATTGAACGGATACATTCATTGAAATTACACCTGAACACTATTAATCAACTCCACGAATCAGTCAACGACAAAACCTTTGTATAATTGGATTTACCCACTTAGCTCCAGTACTACGTGTTACAACACCAATGCGAGGATATCGTATAAAGTGATAACGAAACTACAAAACTGACGGGGTCTTAGTACTATTAACGCTAAAAACTACCATCAAGGTATATACTGTCACTGACGGGGTCTTATAGTACTAAGACCCCGTCAGTGACAGTATATACCTTGATGGCAGTTTTTAGCGTTACAAGCCCCTGCGAAGTAGACAACTTACCCTCACAATTATCACTGATTTCAAGACGTACTGACACTCGTACATTTCTATTAGATAATGAACAGTTTACAAAACACAATAAATGGTATCAGTTGTCAGTTTAACAATATCTACTTTGCCGAAAATCACAAGCAATGACTTAAGTCTACCTTTCCGGTGGCTGTGTGTTCGTGTGGTTTGTCGCATTCGGTTGAACTCGACCTTTTCCGTAACTGTTCCCTCGGCTGGGCGCGTATTGCCCTTTGTTGACGTGGAGGACGTTTCTGTTTTCTGTGCTTTATGACAAACCTAAAGTCTATGTCTTTTTTCGCTGATTTGCCATTATTGTAAATCTTTGGTTACAAACAGGTGATATGTTTTGAAGGGTATATACGTCAATAATGTCGGCCTCATTAAAAGTATATTTAATGATTCTGAACTCTTGTTAAAGGGAAATATGGATGTGATATGATCTTGGAATCTACAGAATTTAGGACCCACTTTGTTGAAGGTGTGTAAATAGCAAATATTTCTATTGTCTAGGACATCGCAGTGAGGCAGTAAGGGTGTACAAACGGTTATCTGACGACCAGAAAGCTGCAGTGTCCAACTACCTGAAAAGTCAAGACCAGCCGAGGCTCACCTGCAAACCACCGTAACCATGGTTACAAAGACCGACCCAGAGCCAGAATGTGCTTTTGGAAAGGCTCGTTCACAACCCGAAATCCTATCTACTGACAAACCTTTCCATGTCACTCTAAGCTTTAAGCAGTTAATAATTAAATAAACAATTTTATCTTTCGAATTTTGTTATTTTATCTTGTCACAGGTATTCCCACTTGTAAAACCCGGTAAGGGGTCTTTATTCAAAAGTAAAACCTCTAAAACCTCTAACCTCTTGGAAATTCCAAGGTGTTAACTACTTCAATAAAATGGACAAAAATAGGGTTAGGGTTTATAATGTCTGTAAAACACGACCCGGTGTTGGTATGCTTACAAGAATTTCAGATAATGTGTCAACATAACCAAAAGAGAACGTTGATGCATTAAAGTGGCAAAAAAACTAAATGTCCAGTAAAGCAACTTTCAGAAAATCTTTGAAACAACATAAACAATACTGGTTACAATTCTTTCCCTGTTCTACACCTACTCCCTGTGTTTCCCAACTCAGCGGTTTAATCTTTTACACATACGTATACTGAGTTTGAACACGTATCTAAACAGTAAGTGACCGTTCACATGTATTCATGTTCATCCAACTTCTAAATGCCTTCCAAGAACTGAAATGCCAGTGTTGTGTAATTGTTACTTATAACTCTCCCATTGACTTCTCCCACCCGTGAAGGTCCAGGTTAGAATTGATCCTCAGTAGCCCATGCTTGTCGGCTTGTCGTAGGAGGCGACTAACGGGATCGGTTGGACAGGCTGGCTGACTTGGTTGACTCATGTCATCGTATCCCCATTGCAAAGATCGATGTTCATAATGCTGATCACTGTCTGTTCCAGGCTCGATTATTTACAGATAGCCGCCATATAGCTGGAACGTAGCTGAGTGCGGCGTTAAACAAACCATAATCAGCCAACATTGACCTCTCTGAACACTAATTTAAATAGAAGAGAAAAAACACCTTGTTTATTCAAATTCTAATTTTTAAAATTACAGTGACAAAAATAGGTATTCAAGATGTTATACTGACACAGACACATTGAGAAACATATGTTTATCAGGCCGAGGTCAGCTGTTGCTGGCGAGGTGCAGGCGGAGCAGCATTCGGCACATACACGATGTATCAATGTCTCTCGCTCTCTCGGTTCATGATGTTGATCACTGGACTAACCGGTCCAGACTCGATTAGTTACAATATTCCGCCATATAGTTGGAATATCGCTGAGTTGAGCGTTAAACAAGAAACAAACAAACAGGACAGAAATAATTACATCCCCGTGACATTGTGACAATTAAGATCACCCGCATATCAGGCTAATAGATGAATGGTTTTCTCTGCCATTCCAAGTTTCATGCAAAAAGTGCAATATTTTCTATGTACAGAATGGGGATGATTTCTTTTATTAGCCTTTTCTTACCGGATGTTTCATGTTGATAATATGTGTTGTGTCCGACATAAATCAATCCACGATGAGCATATTCAGTGTCAAACATTACGTTTGTAAATTCTCCAGTATGTTTTAGTTATACTGCTTTGCATTTGTTTTGGGAGAAAGTGATGAAATATTCCCCAACTTTAGTGAACAGTTTTCGATGATGCTAGCAAATGATTTGGTACTTCAAATAGAAGTTGAGTTCATGATATCACCTCCCGAGGTATGAAATCTGAACTAGATGTTGCAGCTTTCCTGTTTGCAACTGTCATGTTCCTACACAATGTCAAGCATAAAGTTTAAATGCAACATCCACGATGAAGCTGAAACTCTTGCTACGTTTCACAGAAATCAGCATATAGTAATACCTTTTCCATATAAACATACCTTTTACACAGTTAAAGTTGTAATGCACGTGCATCACGTGATTGAATAATGACAATTCAAGCAAATTCATCGTCCTATTTGGATCATGAATGTAACCGTTTTGTCTAGTCCGGCTCCACGTCAAGGACCACATTGCTACTCAGGCTGAAATGCGACCTAACCTTAGTCAGAAACTATCATCGAACACGAACAAATATCATGCACTACTTGAGCTTAGCTTGGATTGTCAGCTTTAATATTTCACTGGGTGCAGTTAAACAAAAAGCACAAATACCTTCATGTGAACAAGACCCTATTAGGCTATCATGGATATTTTCTCTTTTTTTTTCGCTCATATTTCAGAATTATTACTAGACAGTTTATGTCATGCTCAAGAAACAAAATGCTTCTATATTTTGACAAAGGCTCGACGTATTGCCTTGATAAATCAGATAATATATAGAGGGCACAGACACTCATCTGATATGCTGAAATGATGCTAAACTTTCGCAAAGACAAAATCTCAAGGTTCCTGCAGCTCTTTAATGCAGAATATGCCGCACGCTCCATGGCGATTCCCAACTTGTTTGAATCAGCGAAGTGAAATTGACCAGAGACATGTGAATGAATATAGAGAAAGAAAGACAAGAAAATGTTGCCTCATTTTAACGCCGGGTCAAATGAATTGGCAAACACTCAAGTGTAATTTTAATAATTTTTCCGCGAATGTGGAAAGGGTTTTGTTTAAAATTTTCAGGAATGATCATGCATATGGTTGTTGGGGAAACTGTATCCTTCCTATGATTGTAATCACATATCTTATGAAAATGGATTTCCATGGGTTGTTACAAATATGCTTGACGTCTTTCATAAACAGAGTATGTCCCATTTCACTAACAGCAACAGAAACATACTTTGAACAAACTGACATTTTATGTGATTTCAATTTAATTACCTACAACTTTTTTACCACAAGTATCACCGTCAAAGAATAACTGTCGCTAGCGGAAATATACTTCCAATCTAGACTGACAGTATCTTAGACTGGTATCCCAGATTTGCGATCTCGTCACTGCAATTACATCTATAAAGGTGGAGCCAAATGTTACCAAATTTTCCTTGTCCTCCTCTCTAGAATAGTCTACTGACAGTTTTGGTTTTTCATTAAACCTCATTCCATTGACTTACAACTCGTTCATTCATCGTCATGCAGCTACAAAGAGAAACGAAGCAAAACAGAACCAAAACTGAAATATACATGTGCAATATAATGGTCTGATGAATCGGAAATGTGAACATGGGTGCACAAAATAAAAACGTGACGTCAAGTATTTCAAATGTTAGCATTGCTCTACGAAATAATATAATTTAATACCTGAAATCTCACTAAATTTTTCTTGTCCAACCATATTATCACATGAATTGCTCATCTTCAGGGTCATCTAACGGACAGAAATAAAAACTGCGCACATTCATTTTACTTCCTAACAAGCAATAAAATCTGAAAAGAGAACAATTTGGCATGGGGTGACATTTCAATGTAGTGTCTCCTGTGTATAATATGTGAAAACAGGGATACAGTATACCCTTGACCTCAAGACTTCAATTTGTATACTTTCTGTCATAAGTTTAGACTCACTTGAAACAGTCTAAACTTTTGATGGGAAGTATATTACACTAGTGGGTCTAAACTTTTGGAAAGGAATTATATATGGTTTTAGGAAACATCGTTCAATACTAGAAATATCGTTTGGAATGTGTTTGGGTCCATGCTTTATTGAACGGATGATGAGATCATTCTAAATACACATGCACTGGTGTGGTCATATACACGGAAACATGTACACTTCCGAGTAACAAAACCCTAACCAGCACCGGGTTCGTTATTCCTCAGTTCTATCCAACACAAAATGTTCTTCGTTTTTCGAAAACAAATAATATACCCAGACTCTGTCTTAGCTTTAGTCTATCATAGGAATAAGGGAGAGGAATATTTCCTTGAGGGATTTCTTCAAACTTCAGCTGGTTCAGCACACTGTTGAGATCAAGTAGTCGTTGTGTAGCTCAGGTCATCCAAAGGAATCTCCACAACAGCTGGTGATCTTTCACCTGTTGGACTTTTCACTTCATGCTGGAAACGACCTATTTGAATATTGCATTGTCTGCAATTCACTGACAAAGCTATGCCCATAGGTTTTGGTGAAGACACAAGCCATTCCTGACTAACACCATGCACAGAATGTCATAAACCACAGCTCTGCACTGACTTTCATTCTCTTGATTTTTTATGTCAGACAAACACGTACTCTTTCACTTCCGTGTCTGTGCATAGAAATAAGAAACCGTATTTATCACAGAATATATCACACATGCCTGTCTCACCACCATCTTCTAACGTGAGCAGTTCCCTGACAAACTCTCCCGACTCTGTCAGCTGTATCACCTTGCACGTGTCTCTGTCTACAAACAGGATGTCTCCTGTGCTGGTTGTTGTGATACCACAAGGGTTGGTGAGGGCCTTGTCTCCGGTACGGTTGCGTATCTCCACAATACCCCCTCTGGCGTCAGACATGTCACAGACTTCTTCCTGTAGTCAGACACGAGTATGTTACCCTTGTTGTTGACACACATGTAGCCAGGGATGGTAAACAGTGAGTCGCCATTGTATGTAGTGAGTGACCTCAACACGTGTCCAGCCATGTCCAAGATATCCATGCGTTCGAAAGCACCTGCTGCTAGACAGGAAGGATTCAGAACAGCCAGACTGAAGTATCCGGTACATGTTTTGGTGGTAGAGAGCAGCACCAGGTCAGGGTCACTTCTACCGTTACAATCTGATGGGAGCCTGGGACAGCAACCATCACCTGCTTCTCATTCAACTGTGTTATCCCACGTGAGGGGTTTGCCAGGGAAGTTTACTATGGCATGAATTATTATTTCTTGAGAAGAAAGATTTCACACACTTGTTATCATAGTCCGTAACAACACATGTCTGTACACCATCTACAACCAGGACTATCATATCCCATAGATTAGGCTTCTCATCACCCACCACCCTCCCTTCTCTCGTGTCAACCAGCACAGGAGTTGACAGACATCTGTCCCGGTATGTGACGTCGATTACCCCAAACTGCAGGCTATCGAGGACCTTCAGGACGTTTACAGTGTCTGGTGTAAACCCGATGTGATCTATTCTCCGGGTGGCTGCTGCCTCTGGACATCTGAAATCCTCCATCTTTACAGCTGCAGACTCCCAAACCTGATACGCTTCATACAGGTCCATCTCACAGTCCGATACCAAGGCATGGTCAATGAACTCACAATGTTGTCTGTACATCTGCATCTCGATCTCTTCCAGCTTCACATCAGCTTGGAGTTGGTCGGCGTATGTCTGTGATATGTTATTCAGTTCATCCAACAGTTGTGTTTCTTTCTGTTTAATCTTGTTAATGGCTGTCAGGCAGATCAATCTAATATTTTGAACAGCTGACTCTGTGATTCTAGAATTACTTTGGAGCTTCTCGTTTCGTATGTCTACTTTCTTCGACCTCAACTTTCAGTCTCTTCTCCATGCCAAGTTTCTTCTCCATCAGTGCTGCCTTCATCCTTGGCTTCATAGACTCAATGGTGACGACAGTCTTACAAGCTCTGTGGTAGATGATACAACATGTCTGACAGGCAGCCTTCCCACAGTCTTGACAGTGGAACTCAACACTGTTACTCTTGTGTTCCGTGCACTTGATCCTCCGTTTGACCTTTGACCTAGACGACAGATCACATAGGTCATGGTTCAATGAAATAGGGGTCACCCGGTGTGTCTTCACACATTTGTCACAGAGGACCACTTCACACTCAGGACACCACAAGAACCCTGGAGTTGTTTCCCCTAGTTGCTGACAGATCATACAACAGGTGCTTGAGGTCCTGTAAACACAAAGTACATATGTACTTATTTTCATCGCAATTTGAAAAAGGCTACGAAAGGAAGCAGGGTATTTTTTACACACACATATGTCAATGTTAAGCCTACCACCGGTTTTAAATACACACACACAGGCACAGGCACACGCACACGCACACGCACACACGCATATCATATTTTCACTTTACCTGGCAGAGCCACCTCGGACCTATAGGTGTCAATCAGCCCCTGTATAATGATGCTGGGTTTGATCTGCCCCGCCCACTCCTCCACCGGACTGATGGGGTGGGAACCTTTGGTGTCTTGTCGACAGCAGGGACAGGGGATGGTCTTGGACTGTACAGCACCTGGTCTGGTTTGGATGTATGAGGTGACACATTTCCTGCAGAATGTGTGATCACACTTCAGTGTACACGGGTCTGTGTACATCTCCAAGCAGATGGGGCACGTCAGGACATTATCCTTTACTTTCTTCTCTAGCCCGGCGGTCGCCATCTGTAAGATACACATACGGTTTGTTCCTTTTTAGTTTAATAGAAATTAATTAGATTCAGTACAAGCGGCAATGATTGATCTGAACATACGCGCATCTGTATGTGAAGCTGTACACGAACACGCGCACACACACAGACACATAGTAAATATAAACAGATATCTATCTACATGTCTATCATCTATCTATCTATTTATATCTGAGCAATCAGACTGGGAACACTGACATCTTATTGACTTGATTATTTACCATCCAAGTTCGTATTAATTTTGGGAACATATTCGTGCCAATGGTGCTTATCTCAGCTGATTGTCGTCCAGGAATATGTTACTACCATACAGTATCGGGGCCAGGTTTTCACCCATCATCTTCCATATATGCCATATATGCCTGGCTACATGTTACTATGACAACGTCGAGCCCCACCCTGTTATTACTAACGCTGCTGTTGATGTCATGGACTGGCCTCCACGTTCCCCATTAAGGTATACACAGTGTTTTCTCTGTCAATATTGAACAGTATATTAACAGGGTAGTTCGGCCCAAACCTATATTCCTGCCATGATACATGCACTTCAGGCGTGGATAACACAACCCACATATCTGCGCCGCCGATTCTGAGCATGTATATGTTATCTATTCACTCACCGTTAACCTCGACCCTTTTCTTAAACAAACACTGACAACGCATGACCAACACGTCCCCGAGCCGCCAGTATTAAGGTATCGCACAAAACACGGTAGGAGGAACCATTGAATGGATAGCTTCACCGGAATTACATCAGAACACTGATTATTATTCAACCCAATGAACCAGTCAATGTCAATACCTTTGTATAATTGGATTTACCCACTTAGCTCAAGTGCTACCATGGTTAAAACTGATGACGAAAGTAGACAACCTACCCTCACAATTATCACTGATTTCAAGACGTACTGACACTCGTATATTTCTATCAGATAATGACTGACTGAGTTTGGTTTTACGCCGCTGTTAGCAATATTCCAGCAACATCACGGCGGGGGACACCAGAAATGGGCTTCACTCATTGTGCCCATGTGGGGATTCGAACCGGGGTCTTCGGCGTGACGAGCCAACGCTTTCACCATTAGGCTACCCCACCGCCCCCTATCAGATAATGAATAACATTTGACAAAACACAATAAATGGTAACAGTTCAACAATATGTACGTTACAGAAAATCACAAGCAATGACTTAAGCCTACCTTTCCGGTGTGGTTTTGGGTGTGGTTTGCTGCAATCGGTTGTACTCGACCTTTTCCGTAAATGTTCACTCGGCTGGGCGCTTATCAGCCGTTGTTGACTGAGCATAAAACAAGCCCCCAGTGTTGGTCATGTTTACATTCAACATAACCAAAAGGAAACGTCTTCAGGACATGCACATTGCAGCAGCACAATATCATATTTGTTCATTAAAATGGCAAACAAACATAATGTCCCATAAAGCAACTTTCAGAAAATCTTTGAAACAACATAAACAATACTGGTTACAATTCTTTCCCTGTTCTACACCTACTCCCTGTGTTTCCCAACTAAGCGATTTAATCTTTTACACATACGTATACTGAGTTTGAACACGTATCTAAACAATAAGTGAGCCATGTTATGTATTCATGTTCATCCGACTTTTAAATGCCTTTCAAGAACTGTAATGCATGTGTTGTGTAGTGGTTACTTATAACTCTTGGTCTTCAGTAACCCATGCTTGTCTACCAGAAGATCCGGGTTAGAATTGGTCTGAGTGCGTCGTTAACCAACCAACCAACATTAACTTCTCTGAACATTAATTCAAATAGATGAGAAAATACCGTGTTTATTCAAATTCTAATTCTAAAACTTACAGTCACAAAAGAAGTTATTCAAAATGTTATACTGATACAGACACATTGAGAAACATATGTTTATCAGGCCGAGGTCAGCTGGTGCTGGCGAGGTGCAGGCGGAGCAACACTCCGCACGTACACGGAGTATCAGTGTCTGTCTCTTGCATTCTCAGTTCACTTGTTCCATAGGTATATGTTTAACTGTTGTTTGGCCTCTTTTATGCCTTATTGTCTTAGTGGTGTTGTTTAGCCATTCCCATAGTTACATAGATGCAAACATATAATTGTAACAGAAGTGAGTGAGAGATTATGTTTTAACGCCGCTTTCATTATTGCAAAACACTTTCCACACTGTTGGGGCGGTTGGGTAGTCTAGTGGTTAAAGCGTTGGCTCGTCACGCCGAAGACTCGGGTTCGAATCCCCACATGGGTACAATGAGTGAAGCCCATTTCTGGTGTCCCCCGCCGTGATATTGCTGGAATATTGCTAAAAGCGGCGTAAACCCAAACTCAGTCATTCAGTCAGTTCCAAACTGTTAATCACTTTAAGGCTCCGTTGAAAATAAAGCTGAAACATTTTACAACTTAATCGTGATGTGTAAAACACATACACCAAAACAGTATTGTCACAGACCAAATGTGAAATGCATGCATTTCCAGTACAGTTACGAATATAACTTAAGTTTCGAAGATCTTTTATGTTCAATGGCTATCAAATAGCTAGTTCCCTTCCATTTGTTTGCCCTCGGGGACTATGAGATACAGGAGGCCGGTGAGACGTGTCATCTATTTATATTTATCTCCAAAGATTTAGAGTGACACTGACCATAAGACAATATGACAAAATGGTTTCTACTTTGTTTAAAGACATCGACCAAAGACAAGTGAATGAATATTGACAAAGAAATACAAGAAAATGCTGCATTGGTTTAACGCCGGGTCAAATGAACTAGCAAACACTCAAGTGTAATTTTAATAATTTTCCCCGACAAAACCCCCTGCTGGATTGTTATTATCGGACTGTGGATTGCTACTATAGGACTGTTCCATGTGTGTTTTCAAAAGAAAATATTAGCCTACATGTCATGAATCCTCGAACCGTGCTCCGTTCATCCACATAAAACATGCTTTTGTTTAAGTGGTAATATAGTTACTGTACTAAAAGCAGCTGTTCAACCAGAACGTTACCCAAGATAGTCAATTAAGCGTATGTATCCTTCCTATTATTGTAATCATCTTATGAAAATCGAATTACATGCGTTTTAAAAAATATACATGACAGCGTATACACATTTTCACTAACACCGACAGAAACATACTTTGAACATATTAATAGCACTTTATGTGTTTCCAGTTTAATTTCCCACAAGTTCTATTTTCCAAAAGTATCACCGTCAAAGAATACCTGTCACCAGCTGAAATATACTTCCAATCTGGACTGACAGTATCTCAGACTGATGTCACAAGACTTGTCATCTCGTCCCTGCAATTACATTTGGAAGATACATCTGTACCAGTAAGGGCCAAATGGCACCAAATCCCCTTGTCCACTCTAGTATAGTCTACTGACAATATTTTGTGTGTCTCTCGTCTTCATGCTCATCTGGGGCGGTAGGGTAGTCTAGTGGTTAAAGCGTTGGCTCGTCACGCCGAAGACCCGTGTTCGAATCCCCACATGGGTACAATGTGGGAAGCCCATTTCCAGTGTCCCCCGCCGTGATATTGCTGGAATATTGCTAAAAGCGGCGTAAAACCAAACTCAGTCAGTCAGTCAAACCTGTGTACATCCATTTTATCATAAACTCTCAACAAGCAGTAAAATCGTAAAAAAAGAACAATCAGTCTTGGATTGACACTACAACATTGTTGTCTGTGAAAACAGGCACACAAGGTGTACCCTTGACCTCAAGCCTTAATTATAAATATGGTTCTTGGACACAAAGATCAATACTAAAAAAATATCGTTTGGTGTATTTTTGGACCAAGGCTTTGTTAAAAGGGTGCTAAGATCATTCTAAAGATACAGCACTTGATGCTCAGTGCTTACCAAAGTATTCTAGATGAGGACATGTTTGCTCAAGGTAAAACAACACTGAGCAGGAAAACAATACTGTAATAATGAAAGAAATAGAAAGGCATGTTCTACATAATTATACAAGAAGTCAGGATAAAGGCGTCGTACATTAGGTACCTGGGTGTGTGGTAACACTTGAAGTGATTTAAGACACCTTTCCAGACTGTTTTGTTTCGGATGTGTGATCTAAGAAGACTATGGACACGGGTGGGTGGGTGGACAACCTGTCTCCCGCCAGGTGTGAACCTGAAATACTATGCCACGTGCACGTGTCTTATGTAGCCTTGCATAACTCCAGCACAAAACGCACATTTACCTTCGCAGTTTGTACACAAACCGTATTTACACTAATATAAATGATTGTAATGCAAGAAACTAGTTCTGTTTCTCGGTAAATTTCCCGTTCACAAATATAAGGTCTGGTCATTCTTGATCCTCGTGTCAGAAGACTCACTTACATTCTCTCCATAAAACAAAAAATAAACCAGATATCATCTTGATATGTAATTAGGTTTCCTTCCGACCAATCCATTTTGCAATGCAGATGCTCTAGATCAAGTCTCTTTAAATCTTTGAGTCCACTTGTGTTCCTTTTTAATTTAATTGGACTTATATGTATCTTATAAATCCAGACACTAAGCTTTAGTCTACCATACCTACATCTGGATCCTTTTACTAACGCTTTGTCTCAATAGACATAATTTGGATAGTAACAAATAATCCCATTGAAACTGAAATTGAGCTGTAGTAAGATGGGAGATCCTGAACCCGATTCAGATTTTCTAGAAGGTTACATTACTTATGACGAATTATTGATGTCGCTGAAAAGTATGAAAAACAACAAAGGTCCCGCTACAGATGGTTTTACTGCAGAATTCTTCAAGATTTGGGTTATTTTGTGTTGCGGTCAATCAATAGTGCTATCGACATTGGCGAGTTATCCATTACACAAAAATTAGGTGTATTCCTAAGGGTGATAAACAATGTGTAGACCAGTTAAGGTTGGTGGACTGGGTATGATTAATATATTTGAATATGTCCGAGCTTTGAAGGTGACTTGGATGAGAAAACTAGTCACTAAAGATGGCAAGTGGAAATATATTTTAAATGTTAGTTACTGTAAATGTAGTGAATTTGATGAGCATGGCAAAGGATTTTTTTTTACAAAATTGTCAGAAATCTAAAAAATCCCTTCTATATTGATTGTTTCAATGCTTTTTATGATTTTTCAAGTAAAATTAAACCTGACAATTTTGAAGATTTCTTGTCTGATCATATATTTTATAATAGCAATATTGTTATTAATTAGAAAACATGTTTTTATGAAGGGTGGTTTCAAAGGGGTATCTCTCAAATTTGTGATCTTGTTGATGAACATGACAATTATCTGTCATTGGTTGATGTTAATGAAATGTATCAGCATAGAATTCTCCATAGAATTTTAACTACTGACTCTGTTTTTGACTTGCTCATATTATTTCGAAAATATAACTTGTACAAATGCATGCTCAATTCTGCTTCACCAAATATTGCTCAGTTCAGAAGTAAGTTGAGATTGAGATACAGTATTGAAAAATGTATTTTCTTTTACAAAAGCTGTAACACCGAATTTTATTCTAAATGGCTCTTGTATCATGACTTATTCAAAGACGACTGAATTAATTATATTCTTAATTAATTTGTTTGATAATTAGAAATAATCTTGTGTTTGTGTGAATGGTGAGTGGATGGTTTGTCTTGTTTCGTAAAAACTTACACCTGTATCCCATTAGATTGCTGCATGTCTTCTGACTGAGCGGTTCCCTGACTGCTGAGTCTTGAGTGTAACAGGGTTTCAGAAATAAAATTTAAATTACGAAAAGAAAAGAAAAAAAGAGACTTCCCACGTGCACTTGCATTTACATTCACATTTTGTCCACAGCAGCACCGAATTACCGTATTTACACTAACACAATGTAATGCAAGAAATGCTCTAGATGAAGTTCCTTTTCATTTTAATTGGAGTTATATGTATCAGATGGTATAATAAAGCTTTGTCTCTGAATATCCATAATTTTGATAGCTACAAATAATCCCAATTAAATTGAAAAAGAGCCCAAAAAAGAATGTGAGGAAATCTAGACTTGCGTCATTTAGGGCTTCGGCATTGCAGATGGCGCTAAGCAATCGGGGAAATAATGGCTTTGAGACAGCCTACTGCAGCTGGATCGGTGTCCATTCACCTTCTATGTTAAGATTACATTGTCCTTCCGTCTAAGTATATCTATAACCACTGTCAACACTCTCTATAACCACTGTCAACACTGATGTGTTTCACCCAGTCATCATACTCCATTTATTTGCTAGAAATGACATATAACTGCATATGGTATGTCTGTACTGGACAATATAAACTATATCCGCAGATCCTCAAGATCACGTGTATCGATACTGAATACTCTGAGAGGAAGAAACTGTAAAATTGACCAATCTTTGGGGTTTCCTTTGCCCAGGACGTTTATACTTCAGGTAGCAGGAAAGCTGACCTTGTCAAAGTCCATCCGTATATTAGTCTATATGTCTCCTGGGTTTCATGCATACTTGAAACGGAGAGGTATATTTCCTTTGGGGATTTCTTTACATTTAAGCTGTGCCCGGGACGTTTTATACGTCAGGTACCGCCAGGTTCAGCACACTGTTGACATTAGTAATTGTTGTGTAGCTCAGGTCATCCTAGGACTCTCCCAATAGCCATATCCACTGGTGTCTTTCACCTGGTGATCATGTGGACTATTTCACTTCATTCTTGAAATGGGGGGCGGTGGGGTAGCCTAGTGGTTAAAGCGTTCGCTCGTCACGCCGAAGACCCGGGTTCGATTCCCCTCATGGGCACAATGTGTTAAGCCCATTTCTGGTGTCCCCCGCCGTCATATTGTTGGAATATTGCTAAAAGCGGCATAAAACTAAACTCAGTCAGTCAGTCAGTCAGTCATTCTGGAAATGACCTATTTGATTACTGCATGTGTGCAATTCACTGACAAAGCAATGCTCATACAGTTGGTGAATACACACACATTTCCAGACTAACCCCATGCACAGTATATAACGAACCGTCAGTGACAAACGCTTAAACCACAGATCTGCACTGACTTTCATTCTTTTGTTTTCTATATCAGACAAATATGTACTCTTTCACTTCCGTGTCCTTGCATAGAAAGAGGAAACCGCATTTATCACAGAATACATCGCACATGCCTGTCTCATCATCATGTTCTATCGTGAGCAGATCCCTGATATAATCCCCTGACTCTGTCAGTTGTATCACCTTGTGAGTGTGCCTGTCTACAAGCAGGATGTCTCCTCTGTTGGTAGTTGTGATACCACAAGGGAAGGTGAGTTCTCCGTCTTCGGCAGGGGCGTATCTCCATACAACATCCCCCTCTGACGTCAGACATGTCACAGACGTGATCCCCATGTCAGACACGAGTAGGTTGCCCTTGTTGTTGACACACATGTACCAGGGGTATGTAAACAGTGAGTCATCATTGTATGTAGTGATTGATCTCAACACGAGTCCAGCCATGTCCAGGATATCCATGCGTTCCCAAGTACCTGCTGCAAGACAGGAAGGATCCACAACAGCCAGACAGCGGTATGCACTACGTGTTTTGATGGTTGAGAGCAACAACAGGTTAGGGGTCACTTCTATTGTTAGAATCTCATGGGAGTCTGGGACAGCAACCATCACCTGCTTCTCATTCAACTGTGCTATCCCGATTGGAGAGTTATCCAGGGGAAGTTTACTATGGCATGAATGATTATTTCTTGTGAAGAAAGATTTCACGCACTTGTTATTATAGTCCGTAACAACACATGCCTGTACACCATCTACAACCAGAACTGTCACGTCTTGTAGGAAAGGCTCCTCCTCATCACCCGCCACCCTCCCATCTACAATGTCATGCAGCACTGGAGATGGCAGACATGTACCCTGATCCCGGTATGTGACGTCAATCTTCCCCAACTGCAGGTTATCTAAGACCTTCAGGACGTTGTCAGTGTCTGGTGTAAAGATGACGTCATCTATCCTTGTGTCTGCTGCCTCTGTATCCCTGACATCCTCCATCTCTACAGCTCCAGACTCCCAGGCCTGATACGCGTCATACAGGTCCATCTCACAGTCCGATACCAAGGCCTGGTCAATAAACTCACAATGTTGTCTGTACATCTGCATCTCGATCTCTTCCAGCTTCACATCAGCTTGGAGTTGGTCGGCGTATGTCTGTGATATGTTTTTCAGTTCATCCAACAGTTGCGTTTCTGTCTGTTTAATCTTGTTAATGGCTGTCTGGCATATCACCCTGATAGTTTGAACAGCTGACTCTGTGATTCTAGAACTACTTTGGAGTTTCTCGTGTTTTATGTCTACTTTCTTCGACCTCACTTTCAGTCTTTTCTCCATGCCAAGTCTCTTCTCCATCAGTGCTGCCTTCATCCCTAGCTTCATAGACTCAATGGTGACGACAGTTTTACAAGCTCTGTGGTAGATGATACAACATGTCTGACAGGCAGCCTTCCCACAGTCTTGACATTGGAACTCAACACGGTTACTCTTGTGTTCCGTGTACGTGATCCTCCATTTGACCTTTGACCTAGACGACAGGTCACACAGGTCATGGTTCAATGAATTGGGTGTCACCCGGTGTATCTTCACACATTTGTCACAGAGGGCCACTTTACACTCAGGACACCACAAGGCCCCTGGAGTTGTCTCCCCTAGTTGCTGTAAGATCGTACAACAGGTGCTCGAGGTCTCTATAAACACAAGTTAACGTACTTATTTTCATCACAACTTGGAAAGGCTACTAAAGAAAGCAGGGTATTTTTAACACACACAGATGTAAATGTTATGTCTACCACTGGTTGATCTGCCCCGCCCACTCCTCCACCGGACTGCTGGGATTGGGGACCTTGGTGTCTTGTCGACAGCAGGGACAGGGGACGGTCTTGGACTGTACAGCATCTGGTCTGGTTTGGATGTATGAGGTGACACATTTCCTGCAGAATGTGTGATCACACCTCAGTGTACACGGGTCTGTGTATATCTCCAAGCAAATGGAGCACGTCAGGAAATTATCTTTTACTTTCTTCTCCAGCCTGGCGGTCGCCATCGGTAACATGCAGTTTGTGTCTTTTTAGTTTAATACAATCTATCCATCTATCTATCTACCTACCTACCTTCCTGCCTATCTACCTATCTCTCTATCTATGTGTATATACATACACACATATATGTGTGCGTCCATGATAATGTTACTGCCATACAGCATCGGGACCTGGGAGGACGTCCTTCTGCCATGTATGCAGCTATATGGTCCTGACATGTTACTATGACAACGTCGAGCCCCACCCTGTTGTTACTAACGCCTCCCCGTTGCCTATTAAGATATATACAGTGTTTTCTCTGACTGTCTATATTGAACGGGATATTAACAGGGAAGTTCGGCCAAAACCTACATTCCTGCCAGATACATGCACTTCAGGTTTGGAAAACACAACCGACATATCTGCACCGCCACGACTCGTAGCCTGTACAAGTTATCTAATCACTCGCGGATACCCTCGAACTTCTCAAAGGCAAACACTCCCAATGCACATGATCGACACGCCCCCTAGCCACCAGTAGTAAGGTATCGCACAAAACACGGTAGGAGGAACGATTGAACGGATACCTTCACCGAAATTACACCTGAACACTGACTCCATGAACCAGTCAATGTCAATACCTTTATATATTTGGAATTATACAGTTAGCTTCAATGCTACGGGTTACATCACCGCGTGGCCATCGTTTAATGTGACAGAGAAAGTAGACAACTTCATCGTTAAATCTTCATGTATCACGGATTCCAAGACGCACTAACGCTGGTATATTTCTCTTAGATAATGAAAAACATTTGACAAAACACATTAACTGGTATCCGTTATCAGTTCAACAATACGTACTCTACAGAAAATCACAAGCAATGACTTAAGTCTACCTTTCCGCTGGCTGTGTGCTCCGGTCTGGTTTGTCACAATCGGATGAACTCGCCCTTTTCCGTAACTGCTCTGTCGGCTGGGCGCTTATCGGCCTTTGTTGACTGTCCGTAAAACAAGCACTCTAAGCACTCCCTACTAAGTGATGACATCTTTTACCCATACTGAATTTGAACTTATATCTCCACAGTGAGGGAGCGTCGTCGCCCATCAGGTAAACTCTTGCTAATTGGTAGGGTGGCACTTCCTGTGATTGGACAAACTTTCCAAAGAAAGGCACTCATTTCAGTGTTATAAAAACCTAAAATTGAAAACTTAAAATGTTATGGGGAGTATAAAAAAGTATGACATATTGCAAACAATTGTTTTGAAAAAAGAAATGCACGTGATTTGGAATCACTCATAAATCAAATTGACTTCTCTGAACACTTGGGGCGTTGGGGTGATTAAAGCGTTCTCTCGTCACGCCGAAGACCCGGGTTCGCTTTCCCACATGGGTACAATGTGTGAAGCCCATTTCCTGTGTCCCCGGCCGGGATATTGTTGGAATATTGCTAAAAAGCGGTGAAAATCTAAATTCACCCATTCAGTTTAATAGAAACTATACCATCACTCATCAACACAAATTCAAAACAAAACCAATTGTAAAACATACAGTGATGAAAAGGTTTTTCAGAATATTGTATTAACAGAGGCACATTCAGATAAAGAAATGTTTTGTTGGGTGAGATCAGCTGCACGATGTATCAGTGTCTGTCTCTCGCTCTCTCGGTTCACTTGTTCAACATGTATATGTTTGACTGTTGTTTGGCCTCTTTTATGTGCTTTCTTCCTCTATGGAGTACATTTACAGCGCTGGAACCTCGGAATAATCTCGGTAGTGTTGTCTCCCTTTCATTATTGCAAAACACTTCCGAAGACTGTAAAAATGAATTTAGGACTGAACAAAAACACACAAACCAAAACTGAATTGTCACAAACAAGTAGGGCCCAGAGTTGAAATGCATGCATTTCCTATACAGTTACCTATAAAGCGACATGTGCTTACTTTCTTTTTTAAGATAAAAAGCCTAAGCTTGAGGTAGAGCGATATTTTAAATCATTCAATGGCCATCAAATAGCTAGTTCCCTTCCACTTATTTGCCCAAATGAACAGTAAATGCACGAGGCCGGTGAGACGTGTCATCTCTGTATATTTAATGACACTTTCCAAACGACTCTATAACAAGAGGATGTCTTCAACCTTCCATCACTCTAGTTATGTATGAGCAGGTCTGATGCCATAACGAAAGTAGAAGCTATTATTTCCTGCTGCAGTTATGGGTTGTTTTCTGTGTGTGGAAAATGGAACGTAATGAACGCGCCAGGACTACAGGTACCGTAGTTAGCTATAAGTGAGTCATCATTTGTGAAATTTCCATATACTTTCACGTTAATTAAATGTTGCAAGAATAATTTTTATAAATTTAGTAGAAGTATTTCTATTTTGATATTTGGCAAACATCTTGGAAATCATCTTCAGCTACGTGTACATAATTTTCTTTCATTTTTCCGTTGATGTTTTCGAATGGCACCTGATTAAGCACTATACATAAGTACAACTTTTAATCTATCCCATAGACAGCCATGTTAAACCTGATTGGTATGTCTAATATATGTTGTTTTAATAGTTGCAGTTTTCTTAATAATCATCGGAAAATTGAATGGAAATTATGTGTATGTAGCTGAAATGATTTTCCAGCAGGTAGATACGTATTGAAAGCAATTCGACCGAAACTAAATTTATGAAATTATTCTTGCAAGAGTCAATTAACATGCAAGTCTATGGGAATTTCTCTAATGATGACTCACTTATGGCCAACAACTGTATGTTTCACACAGGTAGAAATTTTGTTTGTACATCCACTAATGGTTTTCAGTGACACAGTATTCTTTCTCTGCGCAGTCTCTTTGTTTCCAGAAGGAGAGATCAGATATCTTTCAAATGACAAGTTTACCTTCAGTCTTCCTATTTTCATCACATAGTCGTTGCCAGTTAGCTAGGGCACCGGACGTCCTCTGTGTAGTACTTAAAACCCCATGAAGATCTGGGTTAGAAGTGATCTTCAGGAACCCATGCTTGTCCTAAGAGACGACTAACGGGATCGAGTTGGCACATGTCATGTATCCCAATTGCCAAGATCGATTATCATGATGTTGATCTCTGGATTGACTGGTCCAGACTCGATTATTTACAATATTCCGCCATAGAGCTGGAATATCCCCGAGTTGAGTGTTAAACAACAAACAAACAAGCAAACAGAACAACAATAATTACATCCCCGTGACAATTAAGATCACTCGCATATGAGGCTATAAGATGAATGGTTTTCACTGCCTTTGCAAGTTTCATGCAAAGACTGCAGTAATTTCTAGTGATATAATGGGGATCATGTCTTTCATGGCCCTTTCTTACTGGATGTTTTATGTTGATTACTAGTATATGTGTGTCAGTCCACGATGTGCACATTCAATGTCATAAATTAGGTTTGTAAATTACCCAGTATGTATTAGTTGTACTGTTTTGCATTTGTTTGGGGGTAACACAAAGAATTACCGAAAAAGTTAGAAATATGCCCCTAACTTTAGTGAACAGTACTTGATGATGCCAGTAAACGATTCCTCGTTTTCAAATAGAAGTTGTGTTCATGATAGCACCTCCCGAGATGTGCAATGTAAACTATATCTTTATAGTCTCATGGAGGACAGTATCAAATACTTATCAAGAAAATTCATACTTGCCTCAATCATCCCCAGTATATAAAATATGACCTGGTGTTTACGTTAGTGGTCATCAGATACAATTGTCACAAACAATGAATGATCACAAGATCCCCGATTCACTTGGCTTCTAATCATTATAGGTTGGCCCTGGGAGTCTCTCTTGTAGGTGTATTTCAAAGAGTAGACAAACTGGGAGTAATCAGCTATACAGGTACAGTACATTATTAAGTGTAGGTGTGCTCCATTACATATTTATGGTCACGAGAAGACAAACTGGGAGTAATCGGGTACAGTTCATTATTAAGTGTAGGGGTGCTCCATTATATGTTTATGTTCATGAGTAGTCAAACTGGGAGTAATCAGCTATACAGGTACAGTACATTATTAAGTGTAGGCGTGCTCCATTACATATTTATGGTCATGAGTAGTCAAACTGGGAGTAGTCAGCTATACAGGTACAGTACATTATTAAGTGTAGGTGTGCTCCATTACATATTTATGGTCACGAGTAGACAAACTGGGAGTAATCAGCTATACAGGTACAGTACATTATTAAGTGTAGGTGTGCTCCATTACATATTTATGGTCACGAGTAGACAAACTGGGAGTAATCACCTATACAGGTACAGTACATTATTAAGTGTAGGTCTGCTCCATTACATATTTATGTTCATGAGTAGTCAAACTGGGAGTAGTCGGCTATACAGGGACAGTACATTAAGTGTAGGTGTGCTCCATTACATATTTATGGTCATGAGTAGTCAAACTGGGAGTAATCAGCTATACAGGTACAGTACATTATTAAGTGTAGGTGTGCTCCATTACATATTTATGGTCACGAGAAGACAACTTGGAGTAATCGGGTATACAGGTACAGTACATTATTAAGTGTAGGTGTGCTCCATTACATATTTATGGTCACGAGAAGACAAACTGGGAGTAATCGGCCATACAGGTACAGTACATTATTAAGTGTAGGTGTGTTCCATTACATATTTATGGTCACGAGTAGTCAAACTGGAAGTATTCAGCTATGCAGGTACAGTACATTATTAAGTGAAGGGGTGCTCCATTACATATTTATGGTCATGAGTAGACAAACTGGGAGTAATCAGATATACAGGTACGGTACATTATTAAGTGTAGGTGTGTTCCATTACATATGTATGGTCATGAGTAGTCAAACTGGGAGTAATCAGCTATACAGGTACAGTACATTATTAAGTGTAGACGTGCTCCATTACATATTTATGGTCACGAGTAGACAATCTGGGAGTAATCGGCTATACAGGTACAGTACATTATTAAGTGTAGGGGTGCTCTATTACATATTTATGGTCACGAGTAGTCAAATTAGGAGTAATCAGCTATACAGGTACAGTACATTATTAAGTGTAGGGGTGCTCCATTACATATTTATGGTCACGAGTAGTCAAACTGGGAGTAGTCAGCTATACAGGTACAGTACATTATTAAGTGTAGGTGTGCTCCATTACATATTTATGGTCACGAGTAGTCAAACTGGGAGTACTCAGCTATACAGGTACAGTACATTATTAAGTGTAGGGGTGCTCCATTACATATTTATGGTCACGAGAAGACAAACTGGGAGTAATCGGCCATACAGGTACAGTACATTATTAAGTGTAGGTGTGTTCCATTACATATTTATGGTCACGAGTAGTCAAACTGGAAGTATTCAGCTATGCAGGTACAGTACATTATTAAGTGAAGGGGTGCTCCATTACATATTTATGGTCATGAGTAGACAAACTGGGAGTAATCAGATATACAGGTACGGTACATTATTAAGTGTAGGTGTGTTCCATTACATATGTATGGTCATGAGTAGTCAAACTGGGAGTAATCAGCTATACAGGTACAGTACATTATTAAGTGTAGACGTGCTCCATTACATATTTATGGTCACGAGTAGACAATCTGGGAGTAATCGGCTATACAGGTACAGTACATTATTAAGTGTAGGGGTGCTCTATTACATATTTATGGTCACGAGTAGTCAAATTAGGAGTAATCAGCTATACAGGTACAGTACATTATTAAGTGTAGGTGTGCTCCATTACATATTTATGGTCACGAGTAGTCAAACTGGGAGTAGTCAGCTATACAGGTACAGTACATTATTAAGTGTAGGTGTGCTCCATTACATATTTATGGTCACGAGTAGTCAAACTGGGAGTACTCAGCTATACAGGTACAGTACATTATTAAGTGTAGGGGTGCTCCATTACATATTTATGGTCACGAGTAGTCAAACCGGGAGTAGTCATACTGAGAAGATGCCCTTCAGTGAACAGTTTTTGATGATGATAGTAAATGATTCAACGTTCTCAAAAAGAAGTTGAGTTCATGATACCACCTCCTGCGATGTGCAATATAAACTATGTGTTGCAGCTTTCCTGTTTGCAACTGTTAGGTTCCTGCATAATGTCAAACATAAAGTTGCAATGGAACATACACGATGAAGCTGAAACTCTTGCTATGTTTCACAGAAATCCGTATATTATTACTTTTTTCCTTATGTAAATACTTTTTACTCAGTTAAAGTTAAAAGGCACGTGCAACACGACCACAGTCCGTGTTTGAACAATTAAAATTCCAGCAAATTTCCATCGTCTTCTTCGGGTCATAAATGTAACCGTTTCATCTCGTCCGTCACGACAAAACGAATAATTATCACTACTTGACCTCAGTTTGGATTGTCAGCTGGATATTGCTCTGGGTGTCGTTAGATAAAAAGCACAAATACCTTCATTTCAACAAAGCCCATTTAGACTATCAAGGACCTTTTTTCTATTTTATTTTTGCGCAGTTTCAGAATTAATACACGACAGTTTATGTCAAGCTCAAGAAAACCGTTAAGGTTCCCACATTTTGACAAAGGTTCGCCGTCTTGCTTTGAAAAAAGTAAATATTCTGTTATGCTCATCTGTTATGCTACTTAATGAAGCCAAAGATTTGTTGAAGAACCACACAAATCTAATGGCTCGTGCAGCACCTAAATGCCGCGTATCTCTCATGCTATTTAGCCGATTCCTACATTGTTTAACACAGGGAAGTGGCTTTGACAAACGACATGTGAACGAATATTGAAAAAGAAAATGTTGCCTCGGTTTAACGCCGGGTCAAATGAACTGTCAAACACTCAAGTGCAATTTGAACTATTATCCCCGAAAAAACAATCGGATTGTAACTATCTGACTGTCTAATGTGTGTTTTCTAATGAAAATAACAGCCCTCATGTCATGAATCCTTTAACAGTGATCAGTTAATCCACATAGCACATGATTGTGTTAAAGTGGTCAACAAGTAGTATATTACTCGAAACAGCTGCTCATTCAGAACGTTACCGACAATAGTCAATTAAGTGTATGTTTAAAATGTGCATGTATGTGGTTGTGAGGGGAACTGTATCCTTCCCGTTACTCAAATCCCTTTTTATTCCCGTACCGAAGATGTTACAGACCTATAGTACAAAATCGGATGTCAATGGTGGCATGCAATCATAATGTTTGTAGTTGGGGTGCTTTTGCATGCAAAAGCATGTTATATTTATAAAAAATATATATCCAATCACGCTGAATCCCATGCCACACATTTGCCAGTGCTTCATGCAAGTCACGAGCAGATAAGTAAGTTTTGCTTTTGATAGAATGCCTCCGCGAGTACAAATTACCACATTTCCTAAAGATCACGCTGTCCTTCTATGGCCAAAGTATAAATATCTCTATAATCACTGTCACCAGTGGTGTGTTTCAACAAGTCCTTTGCTGGACAATGTAAGCTTTATCCTCCGGCTTGGGTGAAGATCACATGTATCGATACTGAATATTCTATGAGGAAGAAACTCCGAAAACTGACCAAACGTTTCACACCTGCCGTGGCCATTGTCCATCCATCCATTAGTCTGTCCATACGCATGTCTCCTGGGTTTTTATGCACACTTTGAACGATCATATATATTTCCTTTTACCAGGGAAGATCCGGGTTAGATTTGATCTGCAACAACCCATACCTGTCGTAAAAGGCGACTTACGGGACTGTGTAGTCAGGCTCGCTGACTTGGTGACACATGTCATCGTATCCCACTTTTGTAGATGAATGCTCATGTTATTGATCACTCGATTGTCTTGTCCAGCCTCTATTATTTACAGACCGCCATCATATTGCTGGAATATTGCTGAGTGCGGCGTGAAACAGCAATCATTCAATCAATCAACTATATTTCTTCTTGGGGTTTCTTTACACTTCAGCTATGCCCAGGACGTATATACTAGTACTTCAGCAGGCCGGCTGACCTAGTCCTTGTCCATCCATACATTAGTCTATGGATATGTGTCTACTGGGTTTTATGCATGCCTTGAATAGAATGGTATATTTCCTCTTGTGGTGTCGTTACACATCAGCTGTACCCAGGACGGTTATACCTCAAGTAGCACCAGGTTCAGCAGATTGTTGAGATCAAGTAGTCGTTCTGTAGCTCAGGTCATCCCAGGACTCTCAACAAGAGCTATATCAACTGGTACTTTTGTAAACGGGCTAGTCCCATTGATGACAAGGGCCAGCCGTAGGTCAGAGTTCTTTATTTAATCCAGCCAGATGTAGTGGTACACACTCGCGATCAATTCTGCAATATGTTATAGCACATGTACGTGTGTCACAGATTATAACATTTAAATACAAAGTAATCTTTAAATATTGCATAAACATTAAATAAATATAACTTACTATTTAAGGAACATTACAGAAACATTAAATAAATATACATGTGGCCAGTGACAGCTATTATAATTATTGAAAATAGCATTATGGATAAAACTACCAAATTACACATAATTACCAGCTATGGGCTGAATCAAATGGCTGGTGCTTCATCAGAACGCCTTCACTAGTATATCTAAACACAATATTAAAATTATAAATGTTATGCAAAACACTAGTATAAAATACATCACAAGTGCAATGCAAATTGTTTTGCACAAATACATCACCAAGATATTGGAAAGTATTTTAGCTCAACATTCCATATACTTTCAACATTTCTTTAAAACACCATAAACCAACTGAAATATTTTTGTACTGTTTATCCTTAATAAAATACATTATAATACATAAAACTAACCTTCAGTTACTTCAAGACCAAAACATGTGTCCCTGATGAAGTTGCCAGCCAGAATGACAAATACTGAGCATCTTGCCTTGCATGAAAAGCTTGAGCAGCAACTTACAGCTAATGAGAAGTTTCAAGGCTTCTTCATAAACTTTGGGCCAATCAGCACAGTTGGTATAAAATATGAACTGTGAACTATCCTTACATAGGTGGCAAGGCTCCAAATGAGTAGTCCTGAGGGTCCCCACATCATTATGAAATTAATATTTTAAAGCTCATAATTAAAGCCAAACACCAAGACAATACCAAAATAAATACAGTATTTTGCACCTGTTACATGTTTCACCTGGTGATCATGTGGACTATTTCACTTCTTGCTGGAAATGACCTATTTGAATATTGCATGTCTGCAATTCACTGACAAAGCGATGCCCATACGTCTTGGTGAAGACACAAACATTTCCAGACTAACCCCATGCACAGTATGTCACGATATTCAATGACAAACGCTTAAACCACAGCTTAGTTGTTAGGCTAATCCCAGCTCTGCACTAACTTCTTTTTGTTCTATGTTTTATGTCAGATAAACATGTACTCTTTCACTTCCGAGTTGGTGCATAGAAATACGAAACCGTCTTCATCACAGAATATACCGCACATGCCTGTCTCATCATCCCCTTCTAACGTGAGCAGTTCTCTGACAAGCTCCCCCGACTCTGTCAGCTGTATCACCTTGCACGTGCTCCAGTCTGCAAGCAAGATGTCTCCTGTAGTGGTAGCTGTGATACCACGAGAGTTGCAGAGTGCTCTGTCTCCGGTAGGGGCGTATCTCCACACAACATCCCCCTCTGGCGTCAGACATGTCACAGACTTCTTCTCACAGTCAGACACGAGTAGGTTGCCCTTGTTGTTGACACACATGTAGTCGGGGTAGGTAAACAGTGAGTTGCCACTGTATGTATTGACTGACCTTAACACGTGTCCAGCCATGTCCAGGATATCAACACATTGCCAGTCACCTGCTGCTAGAGATGAAGGATTCAGAATAGCCAGACTGCAGTAACCGGTACGGGTTGTGATGGTTGAGAGCAGCACCAAGTCACGGGTCACTTCTATTGTTACAATCTCATGGGAGTCTCTGACAGCAACCATCACCTGCTTCTCATTCAACTGTGTTATCCCACGTGGAGAGTTATCCAGGGGAAGCTTCCTATGGCATGAATGATTCTTTCTTGTGAAGAAAGATTTCACGCAATTGTTATTATAGTCCGTAACAACACATGTCTGTACACCATCTATAATCAGAACTGTTATGTCTTGTAGGTAAGGCTCCTCATCATCATCCGACACCCTCCCATCTATCCTGTCAATCAGCACAGGAGATGACAGACATGTACCCTGATCCCGGTATGTGACGTCAATCTTCCCCAACTGCAGGTTATCTAGGATCTTCAGGCCGTTGTCTGTGTCAGGTATAAACCTGATGTGCTCTATTCTCCGGGTGTCTGCTGCCTCTGTACCTCTGACATCCTCCATCTTTACAGCTCCAGACTCCCAGGCCTGATACGTGTCATACAGATCCATCTCACAGCCCGATACCAAGGCCTGGTCAATGAACTCGCAATGTTGTCTGTACATCTGCATCTCGATCTCTTCCAGCTTCACATCAGCTTGGAGTTGGTCGGCGTATGTCTGTGATATGTTATTCAGTTCATCCAAGAGTTGTGTTTCTTTCTGTTTAACCTTGTTAATAGCTGTCTGGCAGATCAACCTAATATTGTGAACAGCTGACTCTGTGATTCTAGAATTACTTTGGAGCTTCTCGTTTCGTATGTCTATTTTCTTCGACCTCACTTTCAGTCTTTTCTCCATGCCAAGTCTCTTCTCCATCAGTGCTGCCTTCATCCCTGGCTTCATAGACTCAATGGTGAGGACAGTCTTACAAGCTCTGTGGTAGAGGATACAACATGTCTGACAGGCAGCCTTCCCACAGTCTTGACAGTGGAACTCAACACAGTTACTCATGTGTTCCGTGCACTTGATCATCCATTTGACCTTTGACCTAGACGACAGCTCACACAGGTCATGGTTTAGTGAATTGGGTGTCACCCGGTGTATCTTCACACATTTGTCACAGAGGGCCACTTCACACTCAGGACACCACAAGGCCCCTGGAGATGTCTCCCCTAGTTGCTGACAGATCGTACAACAGGTGCTCCAGGTCTCTGTAAACACAAGTAAAAACGTACTTATTTTCATCACAACTTGAAAAGGCTACTAAAGAAAGCAGGGTATTTTTAACACACACAGATGTCAATGTTATGTCCACCACTCTGTGTTAAATACAAACACACACGCCTATCATATTTTCACTTTACCTTGCACAGCGACATCGGACCTATAGGTGTCAATCAGCCCCTGTATCACAATGCTGGCTTTGATCTGCCCAGCCCACTCCTCCACCGGACTGCCGGGGTGGGGGACCTTGGTGTCTTGTCGACAGCAGGGACAGGGGATGGTCTTGGACTGTACAGCATCAGGTCTGGTTTGGATGTATGAGGTGATACATTTCCTACAGAATGTGTGATCACACCTCAGTGTACACGGGTCTGTGTACATCTCGAAGCAGATGGAGCACGTCAGGAAATTATCCTTTTCTTTCTTCTCTAGCCCGGCGGTCGCCATCTGTATCATGCAGTTTGTGTCTTTTTTAGTTTAATACAATCTATCCATCTTTCTACCTACCTACCTACCTACCTTCCTGCCTATCTACCTATCTCTCTATCTATGTGTATATACATACACACATATATGCGTCCATGATAATGTTACTGTCATACAGCATCGGGACCAGGGATGACGTCCATCTGCCATGTATGCAGCTACATGGTCCTGACATGTTACTATGACAACGTCGAGCCCCATCCTGTTGTTACTAACGCTGGTGTTGATGTCATGGCCTGGCTCTCTTATAGGTATACACGGTGTTTTCTCTGACTGTCTATATTGAACAGTATATTAACAGGGTAGTTCGGCCAAAACCTACATTCTGACCAGATACATGCACTTCAGGTTTGGAAAACACAACCGACATATCTGCACCGCCACGACTCGGAGCCTGTACACGTTATCTAATCACTTGCGGATACCCTCGAACTTCTCAAAGGCCAACACTCCCAATGCACATGATGGACACGCCCCCTAGCCACCAGTAGTAAGGTATCGCACAAAACACGGTAGGATGAACGATTGAACGGATACCTTCACCGAAATTACACCTGAACACTGACTCCATGAACCAGTCAATGTCAATACCTTTGTATATTTGGAATTATACAGTTAGCTTCAATGCTACGGGTTACATCACCGCGTGACCATCGTTAAATGTGATAAAGAAAGTAGACAACTTCATCGTTAAATCCTCATGTTTTACGGATTTCAAGACGTACTAACGCTGGTATATTTCTGCTAGATAATGAATAACATTTAACAAAACACAAGAACTGGTATCCGTTATCAGTTCGACAATACGTATTCTACAGAAAATCACAAGCAATGACTTAAATCTACCTTTCCGCTGGCTGTGTGGTCCGGTCTGGTTTGTCACAATCGGCTGAACTCGCCCTTTTCCGTAACTGCTCTGTCGGCTGGGCGCTTATCGGCCTTTGTTGACTGTTCGTAAAACAAGCACTCTAAGCACTCCCTACTAAGTGATGACATCTTTTACCCATACTGAATTTGAACTTATATCTCCACAGTGAGGGAGCGTCGTCGCCCATCATGTGAACTCTTTGTTAATTGGTAGGGTGGCACTTCCTGTGATTGGACAAACTTTCCAAAGAAAGGCACTCATTTCAGTGTTATAAAAACCTAAAATTGAAAACTTAAAATGTTATGGGGAGTATAAAAAAGTATGACATATTGCACACAATTGTTTTAAAAAAAGAAATGCACGTGATTTGGAATCACTCATAAATCAAACTGACTTCTCTGAACACTTGGGGTGTTGGGGTAGCCCAGTGATTAAAGCGTTCTCTCGTCACGCCGATGACCCGGGTTCGCTTTCCCACATGGGTACAATGTGTGAAGCCCATTTCCTGTGTCCCCGGCCGAGATATTGCTGGAATATTGCTAAAAAGCGGCGAAAATCTAAATTCACCCATTCAGTTTAATAGAAACTATACCATCACTCGTCAACACAAATTCAAAACAAAACCAATTGTAAAACATACAGTGATGAAACGGTTATTCAGAATATTGTATTAATAGAGGCACATTCAGATAAAGACATTTTTTGTTGGGTGAGATCAGCTGCACGATGTATCAGTGTCTGTCTCTCGCTCTCTCGGTTCACTTGTTCAACATGTATATGTTTGACTGTTGTTTGGCTTCTTTTATGTGCTTACTTCCTCCATGGAGTACATTAACACCACTAGGACCTCGGAATGATCTCGGTAGTGTTGTCTCCCTTTCATTATTGCAAAACACTTCCGAAGACTGTAAAAATGAATTTAGCACTGAACAAAAACACACACACCAAAACTGAATTGTCACAAACAAGTGGTGCCCAGAGTTGAACTGCATGCTTTTCCTATACAGTTACCGATAAAGCGAGATGTGCTTACTTTCTTTTTTAAGATAAAAAGCCTAAGCTTGAGGTAGAGCGATATATTAAATCATTCAATGGCCTTCAAATAGCTAGTTCCCTTCCACTTATTTGCCCAAATGAACTGTGAGATGGCCGGTGAGATGTGTCATCTCTGTATATTTATCCCTAAAGATTTAGAATGACACATTTCACACGACTCTATAGCAAGAGGATGTCTTCAACCTTCCAACACTCTAGTTATGTATGAGCAGGTCTAATGTCATAACGAAAGTAGAAGCTATTATTTCCTGCTGCAGTCATGGGTTGTTTTCTGTGTGTGGAAAATGGAACGTAATGAACGCGCCAGGACTACAGGTACCGTAGTTAGCCATAAGTGAGTCATCATTTGTGAAATTTCCATATACCTACACGTTAATTAACTGTTGCAAGAATACTTTTTATAAATTTAGTAGAAGTCATTTTATTTTGATATTTTGCAAACATCTTGGAAATCATCTTCAGCTACGTGTACATAATTTTCTTTCATCTTTCCGTTGATGTTTTTGAATGGCACCTGATTAAGCACTATACATAAGTACAACTTTTAATCTATCCCATAGACAGCCATGTTAAACCTGATTGGTATGTCTAATATATATTGTTTTAATAGTTGCAGTTTTCTTAATAATCATCGGAAAATTGAATGGAAATTATGTGTATGTAGCTGAGATGATTTTCCAGCAGGTAGATAAGTATTGAAAGCAATTCGACCGAAACTAAATTTATGAAAATTAATCTTGCAAGAGTCAATTAACATGCAAGTCTATGGGAATTTCACTAATGATGATTCACTTATGGCCAACAATTGTATGTTTCACACAGGTAGAAATTTTGTTTGTAGATCCACTTATGGTTTTCAGTGAAGAAAATTTCTTTCTCTGCGCAGTCTCTTTTTTTTTGACGAAGGAGAGATCAGACATCTTTCAAATGATTAGTTTACCTTCAGTCTTCTTATTTTCAACACACAGATCTTGCCAGTTAGCTAGGGCACCGGACGTCCTCTGTGTAGTACTTGAAACCCCAGAAGTGATCTTCAGGAACCCATGCTTGTCCTAAGAGATGACTAACGGGATCGAGTTGGCACATGTCATCGTATCCCAATTGCAAAGATCGATTATCATGATGTTGATCTCTGGATTGACTCGATTATGTACAATATTCCGCCATATAGCTGGAATATCCCCGAGTTGAGCGTTAAACAACAAAGAAACAAGCAAACAGGACAAAAATAGTTACATCCCCGTGACATTGGTGACAATTAGATCATCCGCATATCAGGGTATAAGATGAATGGTTTTCTCTGCCATTCCAAATTTCAGACTGCAATTAATTTCTAGTTATAAAATGGTGATCATTTCTTTCAATGGCCTTTTCTTACTGGATGTTTCATGTTTGTGTTGTGTTCGACATAAATCAGTCCACGATGAGCATATTCAATGTCATAAATTACGTTTGTAAATTATCCAGTATGTTTAGTTGTACTGTTTTGCATTTGCTTTGGGATAACGCAAAGAATTACCGAAAAAGTTTAATATGCCCCTAACTTAAGTGAACAGTATTTGATGATGTTAGTAAATGATTCCTCGTTTGAGTTCATGATACCACCTCCCGAGGTGTGCGTTCTAAACTATACGTTGCAGCTGTTTGCAACTGATAGGTTCCTACATAATGTCAAACATAAAGTTAAAATGGAACATACACGATGAAGCTTAAGTTTTTGCTATATGCCATAGAAATCCGTATATTAAAAATTACTTTTTTCCATATATAAATACGTTTTACTCAGTTAAAGTTGTAATGGACGTGCAACACGATCACAGTCCGTGCTTGAACAATGAAAATTCCATTAAAATTTCATCGTCTTCTTCGGGTCATGAATGTAACCGAGTCTGACTTTTGTTGGGTTGAGTCCCATCCGGGATTCGAACCCATACCCTTAGTCCCGGTGGATGATCAACCTGATATTTTGAACAGCTGACTCTGTGATTCTAGAATTACTTTGGAGCTTCTCGTTTCGTATGTCTACTTTCTTCGACCTCACTTTCAGTCTCTTCTCCATGCTAAGTCTCTTCTCCATCAGTGCTGCCTTCAGCCCTGGCTTCATAGACTCAATGGTGACGACAGCCTTACAAGCTCTGTGGTAGATGATACAACATGTCTGACAGGCAGCCTTCCCACAGTCTCGACAGCGGAACTCAACTTGGTTACTCTTGTGTTCCGTACACTTGATCCTCCGTTTGACATTTGACCTAGACGACAGATCTCACAGGTCACCTTCACACATTTGTCACAGAGGGCCACTTCACACTCAGGACACCACAAGGCCCCTGGAGTTGTCTCCCCTAGTTGCTGACAGATCGTACAACAGCTGCTCGAGGTCTCTGTAAACACAAGTTAACGTACTTATTTTCATCACAACTTGGAAAGGCTACTAAAGAAAGCAGAGTATTTCAACACACGCAGATACCAATGTTATGTCCACCACTCTGTGTTAAATACATACACACACGCATATAATATTTTCACTTTACCTTGCACATCTTCCTCGGACCTATAGGTGTCAATCAGCTCCTGTATAATGATGCTGGGTTTGATCTGCCCCGCCCACTCCTCCACCGGCCTGCTGGGGTGGGGGGCCTTGGTATTTTGCTGACAGCAGGGACAGGGGATGGTCTTGGACTGTACAGCATCTGGTCTGGTTTGGATGTATGAGGTGACACATTTCCTGCAGAATGTGTGATCACACCTCAGTGTACACGGGTCTGTGTACATCTCGAAGCAGATGGAGCACGTCAGGAAATTATCCTTTACTTTCTTCTCTAGCCCGGCGGTCGTCATCTGTAAGATACACATGCAGTTTGTGCCTGTTAAGTTTAACACAAATAGATTACGTTATACTCACTACAGATTCCATAAGCAGCAATGGAAGATCTGAACATACACGCATCTGCATGTGAAGCTGTATACAAACACACTCACACACACAGACACACTTTAAATATAAGCAGATGTCTATCTACCTGTCTAGCCCGGGTAAGGCAGCCGACTTTGTGTGCTGGCGATTTGGTGCCTGATTCTGAGGGTGTGGGTTCGAATCCCGGATGGGACTCAACCCCCCAAAACGTGCTAGAATTTGTACTTTACTAAGAAAATGTAATCCAAAATATAACATATGTAACAAATATTTCTATTGTCTAGGACATTGCAGTGAGGCAGTAAGGGTGTACAAACGGTTATCTGACGACCAGAAAGCTGCAGTGTCCGACATCTGACGAGTCAAGACCAGCCGAGGCCCACCCGCAAACCACTGTAACCATGGTTACAAAAACCGACCTACAGCCAGAATGTTCTGTTGGAGAGGCTCGTTAACACTCCGAAATCCCATCTACTGACTTGCACAAAACTGTCCATGTCACTCAAAGCTTTAAGAAGTTAATAATTAAATAAAGAATTTTATGTTTTGAATTTTGTTCTTTTATCTTGTCACAGGTATTACCACTGGTAAAACCCGGTTAGGGGTCATTATTCAAAAAGTAGCACCTCGTACCGGGTTTTACCACTGATAAAACCTCCAAATGGAGATTATTCCAAGGTTTTAAGCTACCTCTTCAATAAAATGGACAAAGATAGGGGTAGGTTTTTAATGTCTGTAAAACACGCACCCGGTGTTGGTATGCTTACAAGAAATTCAGATAATGTGTCAACATAACCAAAAGAGAACGTTGATGGATTAAAGTGGCAAAAAAACTAAATGTCCAATAAAGCAACTTTCAGAAAATGATTGAAACAACATAAACAATACTGGTTACAATTCTTTCCCTGTTCTACACCTACTCCCTGTGTTTCCCAACTAAGCGATTTAATCTTTTACACATACGTATACTGAGTCTGAACACGTATCTAAACAGTAAGTGACCGTTCATATGTATTCATGTTCATCTCTAAATGCCTTCCTTGAACTGAAATGCATGTGTTGTGTAATTGTTACTGATAACACCCATTGACTTCTCCCACCCGTGAAGGTCCGGGTTAGAATTGATCCTCGGTAACCCATGCTTGTCGGCTTGTCGTAGGAGGCGACTAACGGGATCGGGTGGACAGGCTGGCTGACTTGGTTGACTCATGTCATCGTATGTCAATTGCAAAGATCGATGTTCATAATTCTGATCACTGTCTGGTCCAGGCTCGATTATTTACAGGTAGCCGCCATATAGCTGGAACGTAGCTGAGTGCGGCGTGAAACAACAAACCATAATCAACCAACATTGACCTCTCTGAACACTAATTCAAATAGAAGAGAAAACACACCTTGTTTATTCAAATTCTAATTTAAAAAATTACAGTGACAAACAAGAAAAAATTGTGTCCAGGGACACAGATGCCCCCGCTGCTGTAGGAAGAGTTCACACATTCAGGGTCCCACTGAAGTACTTGAAAACACTAAAAACAATGTGTTGAGGAGTTGGATAACACAACCTATTATCATATAAAGATCAATAATTGAACAAAATTCACGAACAAGTTCAATAAACATCTATGAAACTATGAGATGCACACCTTTAGAGTCCCAATGAAACACGTGTAAGCTTAATCAATTCTGTTGAGAAGTTTTTGTGGAGAAGTGGATGGATTTCACCCCCTACAACACTATATTCAGAGAGAAATTCAACAAAATTTATCTAAGTTCAAACGGCATTAAAATTGGAAAAATAAATAAAATACAAAATTAAAATATGAGATGTACACCTTTAGAGTCCCTATAAAGCACATGTGTAATCTAAATGAATTCCATAAAATAGTTTTTGAGGAGACGTGGATAACGTACATCCCGTGTTGGATGGAACGAACAGGCTTAATAGAACAAAATTCAACTAAGTTCAAACATCTGTAAAAGTGACAAAATTAAGAAATTGGATGAACAAGGTATGAGATGCACACCTTTAGAGTTCCAATGAAACACACGTAGAAGCTCAATCAATTCTGTTGAGCAGCTTTTGTGGAGAAGTGGATAGACTTCACCCCCTACAACACTATATTCAGAGAGAAATTCAACAAAGTTTATCTAAGTTCAAACGGCATTAAAATTCGAAAAATAAATAAAATACAAAATCAAAATATGCGATGCACGCCTTTAGAGTCCATATAAAGCACATGTGTAATCTAAATGAATTCCATAAAGTAGTTTTTGAGGAGAAGTGGATAACGTACACCCCCTGTTGGATGAAACGAACAGGCTGAATAGAACAAAATTCAACTAAGTTCAAACATCTGTAAAAGTGACAAAATTAAGAAATTGGATGAACAAGGTATGAGATGCACACCTTTAGAGTTCCAATGAAACACACGTAGAAGCTCAAACAATTCTGTTGAGCAGCTTTTATGGAGAAATGGATAGACTTCACCCACTTCAACACTATATTCAGAGAGAAATTCGACAAAATTTATCTAAGTTCAAACGGCATTAAAATTGGAAAAATAAATAAAATACAAAATCAAAATATGCGATGCACGCCTTTAGAGTCCATATAAAGCACATGTGTAATCAAATGAATTCCATAAAGTAGTTTTTGAGGAGAAGTGGATAACGTACACCCCCTGTTGGATGAAACGAACAGGCTGAATAGAACAAAATTCAACTAAGTTCAAACATCTGTAAAAGTGACAAAATTAAGAAATTGGATGAACAAGGTATGAGATGCACACCTTTAGAGTTCCAATGAAACACACGTAGAAGCTCAAACAATTCTGTTGAGCAGCTTTTATGGAGAAATGGATAGACTTCACCCCCTTCAACACTATATTCAGAGAGAAATTCAACAAAGTTTATCTAAGTTCAAACGGCATTAAAATTGGAAAAATAAATAAAATACAAAATCAAAATATGCGATGCACGCCTTTAGAGTCCATATAAGGCACATGTGTAATCTAAAGGAATTCCATAAAGTAGTTTTTGAGGAGAAGTGGATAACGTACACCCCTGTTGGATGAAACGAACAGGCTGAATAGAACAAAATTCAACTAAGTTCAAACATCTGTAAAAGTGACAAAATTAAGAAATTGCATAAAAAATTATGAAATGCACACCTTTAGAGTCCCTACAAAAGACATGTAGAAGTTCATTCAATTCTATTTAGCAGTTTTTGTGGAGAAGTGGATAGACTTTACCCCTATTACACTATCAGCATAGAGAAATTCAGCAAAATGTACCTAAGTGCAAATGTCTCTAAACTTACAAAAAAAAAACAAATAAAATAAAAAACAAAATATGAGATGCACACCATTAGAGTCCCAAGAAAGCCCATGTATAAGTTCATTGAATTCCACAGAGCGGTTATGTTGGAGAAGTGGATAGAATACATTCCCTGTTTCGTACGGACGGACGGAAAGACGGACGGACGGACGGACGGACACCGAGGGTAACCCTATATGCCCCCAGCCAATATGGCGGGGTCATAAAAAAGGTATTCAGAATGTTATATTGACACAGACACATTGAGAAACATATGTTTATCAGGCCGAGGTCAGCTGTTGCTGGCGAGGTGCAGGCGGAGCAGCATTCGGCACGTACACGATGTATCAATGTATCTCGCTCTCTCGGTTCATGATGCTGACCACTTGACTAACCGGTACAGACTCGTTTAGTTACAATATTCCGCCATATAGTTGGAATATCGCTGAGTTGAGCGTTAAACAAGAGACAAACAAACAGGACAGAAATAATTACATCCCCGTGACATTGTGACAATTAAGATCACCCGCATATCAGGCTAATAGATTAATGGTTTTCTCTGCCATTCCAAGATTCATGCAAAAAGTGCAATATTTTCTATGTACAGAATAGGGATGATTTCTTTTATTAGCCTTTTCTTACAGGATGTTTCATGTTGATAATATGTGTTGTGTCCGACATTAATCAATCCATGATGAGCATATTCAGTGTCAAACATTACGTTTGTAAATTCTCCAGTATGTTTTAGTTATACTGCTTTGCATTTGTTTTGGGAAAAAGTGATTGAAATATTCCCCAACTTTAGTGAACAGTTTTTGATGATGCTAGCAAATGATTTGGTACTTCAAATAGAAGTTGAGTTCATGATATCACCTCCCGAGGTGTGCAATCTAAACTAGATGTTGCAGCTTTCCTGTTTGCAACTGTTATGTTCCTACACAATGTCAAGCATAAAGTTGAAGTGCAACATTCACGATGAAGCTGAAACTCTTGCTACGTTTCACAGAAATCAGCATATAGTACAGTATACAGGGATACAGTATACCCTTGACCTCAAGACTTCAATTTGTATACTTCCTTTCAAAAGCTTAGACTCACTTAAAACAGTCTAAACTTTTGATGGGAAGTATATTACACTAGTGAGTCTAAACCTTTTGAAAGGAATTATATATGGTTTTAGGAAACATCGCTCAATACTAGAAATATCGTTTTGAATTTGTTTGGGCCCATGCTTTGTTGAACGGATGATGAGATCATTCTAAATACACATACACTGGTGTGGTCATATACACGGAAACATGTACACTTCCGAGTAACAAAAAAACTAACCAGCACCGGGTTCGTTATTCCTCAATTCTATCAAACCCAAAATGTTCTTCGTTTCTCGAAAAACAAATAATATATCCAGACTCTATCTTAGCTTTAGTCTATCGTAAGAATAACGGAGAGGAATATATATATTTAGGGATTTCTTCAAACTTCAGCTGGTTCAGCACACTGTTGAGATCAAGTAGTCGTTGTGTAGCTCAGGTCATCCAAGGAATCTCCACAACAGCTGGTGATCTTTCACCTTGTGGACTATTTCACTTCATTCTGGAAACGACCTATTTGAATATTGCATGTCTGCAATTCACTGACAAAGCTATGCCCATACGTTTTGGTGAAGACACAAGCCATTCCAGACGAACACCATGCACAGAATGTCATAAACCACAGCTCTGCACTGACTTTCATTCTTTTGTTTTATGTCAGACAAACATGTACTCTTTCACTTCCGTGTCTGTGCATAGAAATAAGAAACCGTATTTATCACAGAATATATCGCGCATGCCTGTCTGATCGCCATCTTCTAACGTGAGCAGCTCCCTGACAAACTCTCCCGACTCTGTCAGCTGTATCACCTTGTCTGTGTTCCATTCTACAAACAGGATGTCTCCTGTGCTGGTAGTTGTGATACCAAAAGGTTGGCCGAGTGCCTTGTCTCCGGTACGGTTGTATCTCCATAAAACATCCCCCTCTGACGTCAGACATGTCACAGACCTCTTCTCACAGTCAGACACAAGTAGGTTGCCCTTGTTGTTGACACACATGTACCAGGGGCGGGCAAACAGTGAGTCATCATTGTGTGTAGTGATTGACTTCAACACGTGTCCGGACATGTCCAGGATATCAACACAGTCGTTACTACTTGCTGCAAGACAGGAAGGATTCAGAACAGCCAGACTGTAGTATTCGGCACGTGTTTTGATAGTAGAGAGCAGCACCAGGTCAGGGATCACGTCTACCGTTACAATCTGACGGGATAAAGGGACAGCAACCATCACCTGCTTCTCATTCAACTGTGTTATCCCGTTTGGAGTGTTATCCAGGGGAAGTTTACTGTGGCATGAATGATTATTTCTTGTGAAGAAAGATTTCACACACATGTTCTTAAAGTCCGTAACAACACATGTTTGTACACCATCTACAACCAGGACTATCATATCACATAGATTAGGCTTCTCATCATCCACCACCCTCCCATCTCTCGTGTCAACCAGCACAGGAGTTGACAGACATGTGTCCCTGGTATGTGACGTCGATGTCCCCAAACTGCAGGTTATCTAGGACCTTCAGGACTTTTACAGTGTCTGGTGTAAACCCGATGTGATCTATTCTCCGGGTGGCTGCTGCCTCTGTATCCCTGACATCCTCCATCTCTACAGCTCCAGACTCCCAGGCCTGATACGCGTCATACAGGTCCATCTCACAGTCCGATACCAAGGCCTGGTCAATGAACTCACAATGTTGTCTGTACATCTGCATCTCGATCTCTTCCAGCTTCACATCAGCTTGGAGTTGGCCGGCGTATGTCTGTGATATGTTATTCAGTTCATCCAAGAGTTGTGTTTCTTTCTGTTTAATCTTGTTAATCGCTGTCTGGCAGATCAACCTAATATTTTGAACAGCTGACTCTGTGATTCTTGAATTACTTTGGAGTTTCTCGTTTCTTATGTCTACTTTCTTCGACCTCACTGTCAGTCTCTTCTCCATGCCAAGTCTCCTCTCCATCAGTGCTGCTTTCAGCCCTGGCTTCATAGACTCAATGGTGACGACAGCCTTACAAGCTCTGTGGTAGATGATACAGCATGTCTGACAGGCAGCCTTCCCACAGTCTTGACAGTGGAACTCGACACGGTTACTCTTGTGTTCCGTACACTTGATCCTCCGTTTGACCTTTGACCTAGACGACAGATCACACAGGTCATGGTTTAGTGAATTGGGTGTCACCCGGTGTATCTTCACACATTTGTCACAGAGGACCACTTGACACTCAGGACACCACAAGGCCGCTGGAGTTGTCTCCCCTAGTTGCTGACAGATCGTACAACAGGCTCGAGGTCTCTGTAAACACAAGTTACACGTACTTATTTTCATCACAACTTGAAAAGGCTACTAAAGAAAGCAGGGTATTTTTAACACACACAGATATCAATGTCATGTCTACCATTGGATTTAAATACATACATACATACGCATATCATATTTTCACTTTACCTTGCACATCTTCCTCGAACCAATATGTGTCAATCAGCCCCTGTATCACAATGCTGGCTTTGATCTGCCCCGCCCACTCCTCCACCGGCCTGCTGGGGTGGGGGACCTTGGTGTCTTGTCGACAGCAGGGACAGGGGATGGTCTTGGACTGTACAGCATCTGGTCTGGTTTGGATGTATGAGGTGATACATTTCCTGCAGAATGTGTGATCACACCTCAGTGTACACGGGTCTGTGTACATCTCGAAGCAGATGGAGCACGTCAGGAAATTATCCTTTACTTTCTTCTCTAGCCCGGCGGTCGCCATCTGTAAGATACACATGCAGTTTGTGCCTGTTTAGTTTAATACAAATAAATTACGTTTTACTCACTACAGATTCCATAAGCAGCAATGGAAGATCTGAACATACACGCATCTGCATGTGAAGCTGTATACTAACACGCGCACAGACACACTTTAAATATAAACGGATGTTTGTCTCTCTATCTATCTAACTGTATATACATACAGTATATATACATACACACACACACACACACATATATATAGAGATAGAGAGAGAGAGAGAGAGAGAGAGAGAGAGACAGAGAGAGAGAGAGAGAGAGAGATGTGTGTGTGTGTGTGTGTGTGTGTGTGATATGTAAACTGCATGTGAGCCTCTGTACCCGAGCAGTCAGACTGGGATCACTGAGATCTTATGTACCTTTACCATAGTTACCATATTATTTACCATGCAAGTCCGTAGTATTCTTCGGGAGCATATTCGCGCAAATGGTGCCAATCTGAACTGCTTGTCGTCCAGGATAATACTGCCACACAATATCAGGAACAGGTTTTCACCCACGTTCTTCTGCCATATATGAAGCTACATGGTCCTGGACTGACATGTTACTATGACAACGTCGAGCCCCACCCTGTTGTTACTAACGCTGGTGTTGATGTCATGGACTGACCTTCCATTTCCCCATTCAGGTATACACAGTGTTTTCTCTGACTGTCTATATTGAACGGTATATTAACAGGGTAGTTCGGCCAAAACCTTCATTCCTGCCAGATACATGCACTTCAGGTGTGGAAAACACAACCCACATATCTGCTCCGCCACGACTTGGATCATGTACCATGTACATATGCATGTATTTAATCTAATTACCGTTAACCTTTAACCTCGACCCAAACAATAACCAACAAAGCACATGATCGACACCCCCACCCCAACACACACACACACACACACACACACACACACACACACACACACACACACACACACACACACACACACACACACAGACACACACCAGTAGTAAGGCATCGCAGAAAACACAGTAGGGACAACGATTGAATGGACACCCTCACCGAAATTATACCTGAACATTGACTATTTCACAAACAACAGGTCAATGTCGGATCGTATTTACGTCATCATAGTTACCATATTATTTATGCATGTACTTAATAATCTTGGGAGCATATTCGTGCCAATGGTCGATCTCAGCCAATTGTCACCCAGGATAATGATACTGCTATACAGTATCGGGACCAGGTTAACAGGGACTCTCGACCTAAACCTACGTTCCTGCCAGATACATGCACTACAGGCGTGGAGAACACAACCGACATACCTGCACCGCCACGACTATACATGGTGTCTACTCACTCACCTTTAACCTCAACCCTTTTCAGAGACAAACACTGACAATGCACATGATCGGCAAGCCCCGCAGCCAACAGTAGTAAGGTATCGCAAAAAACACGGTAGGAGGAACGATTGAACGGATACATCTATTGAAAGTACACCTGAACACTTTTAATCAACTCCATGAATCAGTCAACGACAAAACCTTTGTATAATTGGATTTACCCACTTAGCTCCAGTACTAGGTGTTACAACACCATCGCGAGGATATCGTATAAAGTGATAACGAAAGTAGACAACTTACCCTCACAATTATCACTGATTTCAAGACGTATTGACACTCGTATATTTCTATCAGATAATGAACAACATTTGACAAAAAACAATAAATGGCATCAGTTATCAGTTCAACAATATGTACGTTACAGAAAATCACAAGCAATGACTTAAGCCTACCTTTCCGGTGTGGTTTTGGGTGTGGTTTGCTGCAAACGGTTGAACTCGACCTTTTTATCCCTTTGTTGAGTGTTCTAAAGGGAGGAAACACCGAAGGGCTGGGCGCTTATCGGCCTTTGTTGACGTGAAGGATATGTTTTGAAAACACGTCTGTGTAAGTATTTTATATACTCATAAGGTGGGGAGGGGGGTGACAACCATTATTGGCATGAGTATATGATTCAAATCTCTTGTTAAAACGGAAATATGGATGTGATCTGATCTTGGAATCTACAGAATTTACTGAAAACACTTTGTTGAAGGTGTATAAATAACAAATATTTATGATTACACAATGCTTTTTTTTGTGGGGATGAGTCCCATCCGAGATTCGAACCAACACCCTCAGAGTCAGGCACCAAATCGCCAGCACACAGACTACCAGTTGTCCAACTTCCATTTTTGTGGAAGTCGCGCTGGCTGAGCGGGTTAGGCGGCTGACTTTGTGTGCTGGCGATTTGGTGCCTGATTCTGAGGGTGTGGGTTCGAATCCCGGATGGGACTCAACACACCAAAAGTACTAGAATTTGTACTTTACTAAGAAAGCGTAATCCCAAATATAACATATGTAACAAATATTTCTATTGTCTAGGACATCGCAGTGAGGCAGTAAGGGTGTACAAACGGTTATCTGACGACCAGAAAGCTGCAGTGACTGACATCTGAAAAGTCAAGACCAGCCGAGGCCCACCCGCAAACCACCGTAACCACGGTTACAAAGACCGACCCACAGCCAGAATGTGCTGTTGGAGAGGCTCGTTCACAACCCGAAATCCCATCTACTGACTGGCACAAAACTTTCCATGTCACTCTAAACTTTAGGCAGTTAATAATTAAATAAAGAATTTTATCTTTTGAATTTTGTTATTTTATCTTGTCACAGGTATTATCACTGGTAAAACTCGGTTAGGGTACTTTATTAAAAAGTAAAACCTCTAACCGGGTTTTACCACTGGTAAAACCTCCAACTGGAGATTATTCCAAGGTTTTAAGCTAACTCTTCAATTAAATGGACAAAAATAGGTTTAGGTTTATAATGTCTGTAAAACACGACCCGGTGTTGGTATGCTTACAAGAAATTCAGATAATGTGTCAACATAACCAAAAGGGAACGTTGATGCATTAAAGTGGCAAAAAAACTAAATGTGCAATAAAGCAACTTTTAGAAAATCTTTGAAACCACACAAAAACAATACTGGTTACAATTCTTTCCCTGTCCTACACCTAATCCCTGTGTTTCCCAACTAAGCGATTTAATCTTTTACACATACGTATACTGAGTCTGAACACGTATCTAAACAGTAAGTGACCGTTCACATGTATTCATGTTCATCCAACTTCTAAATGCCTTCCAAGAACTGAAATGCATGTGTTGTGTAATTGTTACTTATAACACCCATTGACTTCTCACACCCGTGAAGGTCCGGGTTAGAACTGATCCATGCTTTGTCGGCTTGTCGTAGGAGGCGACTAACGGGATCGGTTGGATAGGCTGGCTGACTTGGTTGACTCATGTCATCGTACCTCAGGTACAAAGATCGATGTTCATAATGCTGATCACTGTCTGGTCCAGGCTTGATTATTTACAGATAGCCGCCATATAGCTGGAACGTAGCTGAGTGCGGCGTTAAACAACAAGCCATAATCAACCAACATTGACCTCTCTGAACACTAATAGAAAAGAAAAACACCTTGTTTATTCAAATTCTAATTGTAAACATTACAGTGACAAAAAAAAGGTATTCAGAATGTTATACTGACACAGACACATTGAGAAGCATGTGTTTATCAGGCCGAGGTCAGCTGTTGCTGGCGAGGTGCAGGCGGAGCAGCATTCGGCACATACACGATGTATCAATGTATCTCGCTCTCTCGGTTCATGATGTTGATCACTGGACTTACCGGTCCAGACTCGATAAGTTGCAATATTCCGCCATATAGCTGGAATATCTCTGAGTTGAGCGTTAAACAAGAAACAAACAAACAGGACAGAAATAATTACATCCCCGTGACATTGTGACAATTAAGATCACCCGCATATCAGGCTAATAGATGAATGGTTTTCTCTGCCATTCCAAGATTCATGCAAAAAGTGCAATAATTTCTATGTACAGAATGGGGATGGTTTCTTTTCATAGTGGGACGGTGGGGTAGCCTAGTGGTTAAAGCGTTGGCTCGTCTCGCCGAAGACCCGGGTTCGAATCCCCACATGGATACAATGTGTAAAGCCCATTTCTGGTGTTCCCCGCCATGATGTTGCTGGAATATTTCTAAAAGCAGCGTAAAACCCAACTCACTGACTCACTCACTCTTACCCGATGTCTCATGTTGATAATATGTGTTGTGTCCGATATAAATCAGTCTACGATGAGCATATTCAGTGTCAAACATTACTTTTGTAAATTCTCCAGTATGTTTTAGTTATACTGCTTTGCATTTGTTTTTGGAAAAGGTGATTGAAATATTCCCCAACTTTAGTGACCAGTTTTTGATGATGCTAGCAAATGATTTAATACTTCAAATAGAAGTTGAGTTCATGATATCACCTCCCGAGGTGGGCAATCTAAACTAGATGTTTCAGCTTTCCTGTTTGCAACTGTTATGTTCCTACACAATGTCAAGCATAAAGTTGAAATGCAGCATGCTCGATGAAGCTGAAATTCTTGCTATTTTTCACAGAAATCAGCATATAGTAATACTTTTTCCATATGAACATACATTTTATACAGTTAAAGTTATATTGCACATGCAACAATTAAAATTCAAGCAGCCCCATCGCCCTATTTGGATCATGAATGTAACAGTTTTGTCTGGTCTGGCTCGACGTCAAGGACCACATTGCTAATCCGGCTGATTAATCATATCAAGAATCAAACTTTATTAAACAATTATCATTGAAAAGAAATAATTATAACTACCTGCACACAGTTGGATTGTCATCCTATCCCAAATGCCAAGATTGATTCTCACTGGACTGAC